TATAGTCATAAAGACTTATTGGGAATAATATCAATCAGATATTGCTTATTTTTTTCAGTTATCAATTGGGAATAACACTATAGCAGTGTTGATAGTAATACAAAGTGTGCTTTTGAAGTTAAAATTACGTGTGAAGTTATATTTCTCTGGTGCCTTATCAGTACTCAATACAACAGAGCTCTTTCTGATTGTGTTGTTTTAGACGAGCAGTCCTTAGACAACTTCTACTAGTCATTTTATTAGTAGATTATCCTCTTCCAGCTCTGTATAACCCTTGTTGGGTTATAAGTTCTACACCGCATAGTTGGATGAGCTTTTTAGCTTGAGCATCTGTCCTATTATAGCCTGGTGGGTTCCATAGACTGTGGTGCAAGTTTGAGTCTGTAGAGATGAGGGAGGGGATCCCACGCTGGAAGTTGGAGCGTAACCATCTTTCTAGGACAGCGAGGCCACGCAGAGCGTTTGGAGGGTTATACCACGAGATTATCCGGAGTTGAGGAGAGCGAGAATGAGGTTTCATGATGTCGACTGCAAGCAAGATATCAGACATGCTCGGTAAGATTGAGATTTGAGAGGACTGGATTAACTTGGAGATATAAAGGACCACTCTGGGTCTTTCGTCCCATGAGCTAGGTTGATAATCATATGCTGAGATCAAATGCCACGCTTCGTGTGTTGGAAAAGATAGGTTGAGAGTGTTGAACCAAGGCTCCTGTAGGGCCAGGATCGTGTATTGAGTCTGGGTGAGTGCTTCAAGAGTGATATGTTGAGATTTTTGGCAGTTGAAATGGAGAATTGAGAAGTCGTTCGTTTGAGGAGATGATTCGGGGGTAGTGCGTTCTGGTGTTGTATCTTCGTTAAAAGGTGCAGGGTTTGGTGTTTCAAGTAAGTTTCTATAACTCATCATCGATAATTACTTGATCGTTAATCTGGTATTGTGTTTTCCTTAGAGGACAGTTGAGGCTTTTTGGGGAGTGGGCGTATGTGGGAGAGAATCTATCGACCTGTTTGTTAGTTCTTTGTAAGTCAAAACTTACACAGCGAGCACAATTTTGGTCAACATCATTATTGGCGCAGTCTTTTGTGTTGTGGGAATCACCACATTTTGCGCAATGCGGTTTGAATTTGCAAGTATTGTGAGTGTGATACAAGTCAAGACAATTGAAACACATCATTGGTCCTTGTACATAGGCTTTGCTTTTTAATCTATTACAATCGATGAATAGACCACCTTTCTCTAATTTTTGAGCGATAGCTTTATCTACTAAGTTTAAGACAATGGTACCATGAGACTTCTTCGTGTCCAACGGGTTTTTGATCCATCTTGCTGAGTGAAGGACTTCAAGAGGTAGTTCATTCTGTTCGCTTAGTCTAATCAGGAAGCTAGTATCTTTAACATCGAGTTCAGCCGGTACGTAGTTGAACAGAATAGGATATCGAGTTTGATTTGTTTCAAAGTCTTTATGAGCTAATTTCGTCCATCTGTGTTTGTTTTCTAAGAGCCAGTTTTTGATGAGTCTATTTTCCATGTACATAATGATGTCACCTGATTTCATGAGTGATGCGCTTTTGATTCTGACCGGTTTATCATTTATATGTGCATTGATTGATGCTAATGCTTCGTTGATCTTGTTAACAATTGCTAAGTTTGACATTCCTTTGAACGGTTCCATCCCTGGTCCTTTATGCATAATCAATGAGGCAACCTTGAATTGATTGATTTCCGAGTTTTTAGGTGGCGGTTTAGGAGCTTGAGTTGTGTTCCTGATTGATTTGGGGTAAGGGTTCTTCCACGCGGTCTGGTTTGATGAAGGGGCTTGAGGGGCTATAGTTTCGTTGGAGCTGGACGAGGGACGATTTGTCTTAAGTACTCGGATTTCTTCTCGTAATTCTTTGATCGTGTTGTTGAGTTCTTTGATTGTCGTTTCAAAACCGTTCATCATTTTGATCATGATTTGAATTAGACCGTTGTTCGATTGGGAGTTTTCTGAGGCCATAGATCTAAGTTCGCTCATCATAGAATCCGATTCGTTCGATCGTTGGATGTTCGGGTTTTTCGAGGGAGGGCTCGAATCGCCTTCACCGATGTCCGGTGGACGCTTTTGGGGCATACTAGCGAGGGGTTGATTAAGGATAAAGGGGTTGATCGGTTGAAAACTTCGTTGGTCTTTGGATAGCTGAGAGATGGATATATCTCTGCCAGAGACTCCAGAGCAGGGATGCAGGAATGAGTACCGAGTATGAGTATATACTCAACTGATACTCACTTTGTATGGGTTTACAGGGCCAAAAATAGGCAAAAATACTCAGTATACTCAATAATACTCACTTTACTGAGTAAACTCATACTCACTCCTGCATCCCTGCTCCAGAGGATGGGACGTTATGGTTTTTGGCCCGCGTGCTTTCACAATCACTACCCGGTCGCCTTTTCGACCCATTCCCGTATATTTACACGTACCGACTCATTCCTTCACTCCATGACAATTTCCAAATGCCACCGCTGTATGTATTCCTGTACAAATGAATTCAGGCAGCCACTGGCCAGACAGTCTCGGCTCCGTCAGTTATGTACGTATCAGCAGGAGCCAAATCAGAAGTGGATGAAGAGTTTCTTTTATGTTGGTGCGAATAAGATTCCAACCTTTTTACTTTGAATTGTGTTAGTTGTGTTGCACGGGGAACCTGCACAAGATGATTTCATCGAAAACTATCAGACCTTCGCAAAAATTCAATTCTCGACCTTTCATCTCTCGTTCTAATTCCTCACAGACCGTTCCCACAATATCACTTCGCCATCGACACCCCCGTCTCCGTCGCAGGCGAGTTTGCACAGCCGTCATTCTCATATGCGTCTCTTGCATCGTCATCATATGCATCACATTCTACCATTTGAAAACGACTCGGAATTATCGATCCTATGATGCACTGCTTCGATCAAACTGGAGAAAATTAAGGTCGCCCGACGGACGATGGTCACCGGACCAAGGAGCTCTCCAACATGAGTTTCGAACAGAGGCCGGGCTTCGCTACCCATCTGACGTTTATCCGGCCCTTATGAACCCATATCGAAGGGCTAATGCTACTTTTGTTGCTCTGGTACGGAGCTCAGAAAGAGAATCTATGATGCAAAGTATGCGGTCGATTGAGGATCGAGTCAATCGCAAGTTCGGTGTGCGCTTTTGTTACTCACTTCGACCGAGTCTCTTAACCCGCTCATGGACGCAAAAGAATACTCATCGCCTTCCGCCCGATTGTCGCTCAATAGTATCCATGGGTCTTCCTGAATGAAGAAGAATTCACCGAAGACTTTAAAGCAGGCGTGAAGTCTATGACTCGTTCACAAGTCTATTTCGGACTCATCCCAAAGGAAGATTGGGGTTATCCCTCTTTTATTGATCAAGAACGAGCGAATCGGACAAGAACACAGATGGGTAAAAATGGAATCGTCTACGGACAAAGCGAGAGTTACCGTCATATGTGTCGATATCAATCGGGGTGAGCTCACAGTATACATTCAATCATCATTGGGGTTGAGTATTTCAACTCAGCACATCGCCGGTTTAGCTTCTTTTTTAGGCACCCTTTAATGCTCAACTTCAATTATTATTGGCGAGTGGAGCCATCAGTTGAGCTTTTCTGTGATCAAGATTACGATCCATTTGTTTTTGTAAGTTTGTGCGCATCTCGTGACTCGTTACTCCATCCAGGCTACATCGGATTTAAGGAGTCAATTCTGATCAATCTGGTCGTTCTTTTGTTATCTTATGCAAAATGAAAACCAAATATCAGATGGAATCAAATCAAAAAGTATACTCATTTGTTCTCTCATTGTACGAATATCGGGCCACACTTCCAACTCTCTGGAATGTCACTCGAGAATTTGTCACGTCGAACCCTTCCTCACTAGCACCTGATAATTCATTAGGCTTCTTAGTGGATCAACTAGAAAAAGGAATGGATGCAGAATATAACCTATGTCACTTTTGGTCCAATTTCGAAATTGGTGATCTACGATTTTGGCGCTCTCAAACCTATCTTGATTTCTTCAATCATCTTGATCGAAAAGGAGGGTTTTACTACGAAAGATGGGGAGACGCGCCTGTTCATTCAATCGCTGCATCTTTATTTTTATCTACTTCGCAAATCCATCAATGGGATGATATTGCTTACTATCATCCTCCTTTCACTCATTGTCCCACTAATCTACAAAAGCATCACGTTAATGGTAAATGTTATTGTGATCCAAAAGATAACTTTGACAGCTTACCTTATAGTTGTACACCACGATGGTGGAAAATCAGCGGGTAAGTTAGTTCCTGAGCAAACTCACTTCTGTCTTGAGTTTATACTTCCATTCGTTTTCATCGGGGCTCATCTGTTGCTTTTTCTCATCAGGAACCCAAATAAAAGTTGAACTCCTTCAAGTTTGACAAAAACTCGAGAACTAGTTTTGATAGGTTCTTGGCCTACTGTTACTTGATTATAGAAACACCGTCTAGAATATGTATCTCAAAAGTAGAGTGACCTTTGTCGTTCAACATTGTCTACGTTCAAATTTCATCTCATATTTTGTAAACGGCTTTCTTCCTTGATTATATCTCAGCTTTCTCTTGAATCTAATACCCTTGGGCCTCAGACCTCCTGATAATCTCATACACCTGGAACATTTTGTAGTGATATGTACACATGTTATCACATCTACTTAATTAGTAACTTGACCACTTTGCATTTGATCTCCAAGTCCACATTACAGGGTTCTCAAAGCATGATTGGGCTTCTCTTGTCAGATATCCGACGAGAAGAGATATTGGTATCATCCAAAAACACGTTTGTCTATCTTGATGGGGGGCTCCGATTTCTATAAGGTATCTCAAAATTAGTATCCAACTTGAAGTCCATACTTTTGCTACAAGAATCAAGTCAATGTCTGCCAGCATGTCACACGTGTGATATCTAAGATTTGACCTAACTCATGTGTGATATCTGAATTTTAGTCAAGGTGACGTGTCATATGTGTATGTAGGGTTTTGTTCTTTTAGTTAGCCGTGGTTTTGGTTTTTGACTTGAGTTTTGTCCTCGAGTAAAGTACATTCAATTTCTTCCTCTTGCCCGATCTCCCCCTTGGTAACCCCTTTGTCAACTCCCCCACTTCCTCTTCGATCTGATCGTTTCCACATTTCCAACACCGTCTCATCTCCTACAACTAGCTTACCACACACAAACATACAATGTCATCTCCTGGAAGGCGACTTTACATCGGTCTGTTCTTCAAATTCTCCCTTGCTGGCTCTTCACCTCGCTGATCGGATCGCATCTCAGGCCGTATACCGCAAGAAGCAACTCGCACAGATATCGAGAAGTACTTTGGCCGGTATGGCACTCTCCTCGATGTCAGAATCATGGCTGGTTTTGGATTTTTGGAGTATGATCAGGTTCGTGACGCTGAAGATGCAGTCCACGACTTGAATGGACGAGAGTTTATGGGTGATAGGTAAGCAGTCTTCTATTCTTTGATACCTGTGATATGGTTTTAAATTGTCTTTCTTCTTGATCAGACTTATTGTCGAGTTCGCGAAAGCCCCTCGCGGTGGTCGCGAGATGTATGGAGGAGGAGGTGGTGGGAGTTATGGTGGAGGTGGCGGACCCCGTCGCAGCGGGTTCCGATTGATCGTTAAAGGAATTTCGCATGAGACCAGCTGGCAGGTACGACACCTGCTCTTCGACCGGAATCTAACTTGAACCTCCGCAATTCGGCTTGGGGCTGTCTTATCGTCTTTTCTCGCTCTCTTGGCCTGGGCCTTTTGGATGTCTCGGCCTTCTACCGTTACCATGTGCTTGGGGCGACCCAGGCGCTCTGTGGCCCATTCTGTGACTCGAGATACTCACTCCCAGTGGCCCGGCCGTTTGTCTCACCCTCTGCCATAATGTCTTCCGTCTTATTCTGGAGGTGTTGGTTGCGCCCGATTTATCCTCGCTCTTCCATCCACGTTGCTCGCCCATCCTCTGGTTTCATGGCCTCCCCAAAGGACGTCCCTCCATTCCCCATATGGCCAAGGCCGACTGAAGCCTCAAGTATCCTTAGGCGCTGCTTCGTGGCCATATCGTTCCAACTGACCTGCGGCCAAGCATTCAGTTGTAGTCTTTCTACTGGTCTTTCTCAAAGGGTCGTTTCAAACTCTCAGTGACTTGATTACCGGATTGCTTTTGGCGCATATACCTCTGGATACATCTTATGGCCCGTCCGTTTGTCTCCCAAGGATGCCCGAGTTCAAATATTGGCCCCAGGATAGGAACGTGATATATACTGAAGCCTGGTGGGACACCTAAGTGGCGGGATCTAAAATGGCCAACGAGGTTGATTTCTTTGCAATACATCAGGACGTGCACGGATCAGCCTCAGTATATTCAGTAGCTCTTCTGGTTCGGCCTCCGTATTGCAGTCTGAACTGCGACGTGGACTCGTATACGGCGGTCTACAATGCCAATCTGCCGCCTTCAGTCCCCTCTCCGCCTCCTTCCGTTTTCCGTTGCTACCATGGTATCCTAGGAGAAAGTAACCTGGCCTATCCTCTCTTCTCTGTTGCATTCCCGAAATAACACAGGATCTCAAAGACTTTGCCAGACAGGCTGGTAATGTCATTCGTGCTGATGTTGACCGCAACATGCCTGGAGAAGGGTTCGTTTTTTTCAACGTCATACCAATTTTTCGCCGTTCTGATACCCAGCTGCTCTTCTCCCGCACTCATAGTTTAATCGAATACTCATCGCAAGATGACGCTGATAACGCTTTGCGCAAACTTGATGGAACAGACCTCAAGGGCATGGTAGTGACGTTGTTTGAAGATGTGAGTTTATGTCTGCTGCATCTTTCGTCGTCTTATGTACTGAACCTAGTTCTTTGATGGACTAAACAGCGACCAGGAGGTGGTCGTCGTGATCGCTCTCGATCGCCCAGCTACCGTGACCGGGGTGACCGAGGTGATCGCGGTGATCGGGATCGCCGAGGTGGGTACGATCGGGAGCGCCGTCGAAGTCCGCCTTCCCGTGATGAACGGGAACGAGATCGCGACCGTGGTTATGGCCGAAAGGACAGGGATCGCTCCAGAGATAGATCCAGGGAACGATCTGCCCGCCGCGAGGTCTGGTGACTAATTGAATATCTTCTAAATCATCACATCGCACATTGCATCATCATCGCTTTCCATAATCTTTTTGAAAGGATAGTGGAGATGGAAGCGGAGAAGATGATCAACAGTGTCAGATGTATGACAAGTCTTCTATATCTGATTCAATATCTGTTTTACTTCGTTTCCTTGTTGATATAGACGGTGGATGAACCTGAAAAAGCTGCGCCTTGATGTCTGAATCGAGGCACGGGCATCAAAAGAGACCAACAAGAGTCTTGTCAAAACAAGTCGACCGACTATCTGCTCTATAGCCATCGACAAAAATTAGACGTATTTCATTCTTAAAACAAAACCTTTGTGTGCACCTTGTTGTTGAATCCTACTTTGTCCGGGATTGTTCAAGAAATTGTGGATAAATCTCAACTAATTTTCTCTCTTTGTTCACTTTGTATGTGCCAATGCGATATCAGTTGAGGCAGCTTTTCATATTTACTTACAGTGATTGCCTGCTCATTGAATTAGATCCAATGCTCAGATAGGATCAACAACAAATCATCACTTCAAGTGACTGCCAATTGGCTCCTGGTTCAACATGACCACCGTTTCATCCCGTGCAACTGATGTGGCAGAGTTTTCTGGGAAAGTTTGACTTTGCATGCCACACGACAATGGCACAAGGACTAGGTCCATCCCAGCTTCATTGATCCCACCTTCACCCTCACTCACTGCTGGGGATACACAACTTTGTGATCTGCCATATGATATATCTCTCGACTTGTTTGCGCGTTGATCACATGACATATTGTCATTTCCAACTGCCTTAAACAGGGTTGAGCTGTGATGCTGTGATGGGGGAGGAGTCAAATTCAATAGACAACATTACTAGATATACCTCTCCAATGCTATAGGTGAATCACATGAACAAGTCCAATTACTCTATGAGGTGTTCAGAATAGTTGAAGCAAGTTTGTCAAAAAAATAGAGAAAGTTTTGATTTGTTTTGGAACAAACAACAAACTCATGTGAAATAATCCAAAAATGGTGGTAAGATCATGCTCTTCCACTGAGCAGAATGTAATGGCAAGGTAGATCTATCAATATTGAATTCACACAAAAATTCACAATATGTGGTCTGTTTTCCATCAGTCATTGGGAGCAAGCCGGAGCAAGCACAATGAAGGATACTGGGAAGGGTGATATGTATGAGGTTTCAGAACACCAGTGAAGTTTAAAGCTTCCCTGGAGCAAATGCAACAAAGAAAATTGTCAAGGGTCCAGTGATATACAGCTATTTTTGACGTGAAATTATCTTTAGTTTTGTAAATTGATCAGAACCTTGAAATGGATTGGTGCTCTAATAGGTGCTGATGAAGTGGATATATTGTACTCTTTTTGATTTGCGATCCAGAAGGAGAAGTTGGCAACTGAGTTGATATGAAATGTGCTGGTCAACGGTGGCTCGCTAAGCTAAGCTAAGGGTTTTCGCCACCTTGGCTTAGCTTAGCTAGAAACCGCTAAGGGCAATTCCGCTAACGCTAAGCTTAGCGGAAAACCGCTAAAGCTAAGGCATTAGCTTAACGCACAAAAAAATGACCCGCTAAGCTAGGGTCATTAGCTTAGCGAGAATTTGAGCGCTAAACCGCTAATTAGCGGCTTAGCGGTAACATTTAGGTGAAGCATACGATAATATGTATTTATAAAGAAAGACTTAGTTTTAAAAAAAAGAAACAATAGCATTATTTTATTATACCCTTTGCCAAATTCTTTGCTAGCACGCTGGCTACAAGCATCCATTCACCCAACAATTCCACCTTTTCACAAAGCCACAAGAGGCTACCAACGTTCCTCTCAATATTTTGAGGAGCTAATCAACCTCGATTGGTTGAGCATACATCAGCAGCAGCTGAAAAGGACCTCTCTACAGCAGCAGAGGAAGCCGGGACCGCAAGGTAGTCACGAGCCATTGATGCAAGGACCGGATATTGGTGTTCATGGTCCTAAAACACATCATGAAACAGATTAGCATGTGTTCAGGAAACAGGCAAAAATAGGAACTCACTTTCCACCATTGTAATATGCATTCAGGATCAATATCCTGATCACCTTCGCCCTTTTTGAGGACGGGTATCAAAGGATGTTCACCTGCCAGATATCTCTTCAGCTCATCTACTCGCTCAGTCTGTAGATCACTGCTGAAGAGTTGGTATACAGAGGACACCTTGCTGCTTGAGATCGATGTGCTGGGTTTGAGTATGCGTTGAGAATCAAGGTCGGTATGCTGAGTCTTGCAAATATTGAAAGCTACAGTGAATCTTGCAAGAGTATCGACAGAAAGCGCATCTTCAGCACCAAATGTTTTCTCGAAGAATCGATGTCAAAACAAGGGGTTTAGAATTGTCGCAAAGACCAGAGCTTCACACTTGAGCGCCTCATTCCAATACTTATCCAACCAGACTACCATTTCCGAGATCATAGGGTATAGCGGGTCATCTTCGTCTAAAGAGGTTTTTCGCGCCTTGAGGGATTCCAGGAGAACATAGTACTCGGGAATGACAATTGATCCGTTTGGACTGTCCTCCTCAAATCGTTTGGTAAGTAGAAGGAAAGGCTGATTGAGAAGAAAAAGGAATCATCAGATATTGTATGTAATTTGAGTGTAAGTCAGATTACTTACCAAAAGCTCTTGATTGAGCGCATTGATGTCTTCCCAATCACCACCATCGAACGTAATACCACGGAAATATGCCACTTTCTTCACATCGGTACCTCGGCGCCTGTTGGTGGAGTGGTATTTTGCTAAATCCTCGCTTAGAATCTGATCAATTACCTAAATACAGAGTGGAGTGAGATTGGAGTGAAGGTTAGATAATTTGGTTTGATTATCTCTAGACATCAAACACTAATCAACTCACCTCACGTGCTTCATATGCTCGTGATTGTCGATCATGATCAGCATTCCATCTTATACCATATCCAGCAACCAACGGGCGCACAGATAGGCCTTTGGCCTTCATGTGGCGCTCAAACACTCGTCTCCAAGACGCACTTCGGGTCATACGGCAACACACTGTGAGACACTTTAAAAACCAAAAAATACATTGAGATTATAGAACGAAAATATATAAATCAGGAAAAGAGAGAAATGAAATCAACTCACGTTTTTGTAAAGATCAGCCATTGTGTTCCTTGTGGCACCACCTTTGTGGTTTGATTGAATTGATTCTCGCAGACGGCGTGTTTCTTCATCTTCTTCTTGATTGCCACCTTCTGATCCCTCTTCTGAGTCACTATGAGGTGTCTCCTCAGGAAGCTCGTCAGGATCGTGGTCCGGTGAATCGTGTTCCGCGTCGTCATCGTGTTCAATGGGTCTATCACCTAAGGCTTCTTCTTCATTATCTTCCTCTTCGATGACAGGCATGATATCTACCACAGGAAACCGGCCTAATACTTTCTCCTTGTTAGCCGAATTTGCTGGAGCGTTGATCCCTAAAGCAGCCAGACCATGCTTCACAACAAGCCCGAGCTTGTGGCACGCACAGAAGTGGTGCATGGTCTTCGGATCCCACGTGTAATTGGTTAGCCATTTGGCGGTTGGCTTAACTAATTGCTTATTGATCACAGTAAGGCTTTCGCATTCGGAAGGCTGTTGGGAGGGTGAGTTGTGGAAATCGCTATTGGCTGCCGAAGGAACTTGAGAGCTTGAGGCATCTGAACAAGACTGTAGCTGAGAATGAATTTCTCGGGACATCGTGCGGTTATTCATGCCTGAGTCAGTAACCTGAGCAAGCATGTGATACAATAACGATGGATGTCAGTCAAATATAACTTTAATATACAAACAAAATAATGAAAGAAACTTATCTTTTGATATAGGTTGTCCTTCTTTAGAATGGTCACGATTGGCTCCGCCAACCATTTACCGTGATGATGCCATGCCACGGTCTTCAACGTAAGATGACGTATCTTGAATTCCCAATTCTGAGTGATGTAAGCAACCGATACACCACTAAAGGCGTGCGCGTTACCCTTTGTTGTCCAGACATCTTGGATCAATGTAAACTGACTATCGAGATTCTGATCAAGGAAAGTATAATAGTCAGTTTTGATCCAAGACAAAGCCATTTTATTAAAGAAAAGAAGAAATACCTGTAGCTCAGTACGGACCGAGTCACGAAGAGAAACATATAAGTGTTTGGCTTCGTCAGCCATCCACTTTCGCTTATATATGCGAACCCCAGGCCGCGCATAATCGAAGGCAGCACGTAAAGCCGGGTCTTCAATCCGTTTCCAAGGTAATGCTTGCCGAACAAGCCAAAGACAGAGTAACCTGTTCATTATGCTGATGTCGTAATGGGCTTTTGACTGCTCGATGCCGAAGGATGTGAGTGTGGATTGAGATTTTTTCTTTGCAACCGCTTTAAGTTCAGCTACTGTTGGTGGAAGATTGGCGCCAGCTGCGATAGCACGGTCTCGTCCAGGGCATGAAGACATTCCCTTTTTGGCTTGAGGATTTCCATCTCGATGGACCTTGAGGTTTGCTCGAGGATTGCTACTGCTGACACGGATATCCACCTTTCCACACCAAAGACAAGTGTGATTCAGGTGTTTACAAGTCGGGTCCTTTGATTCCTGTAATATAACTTGATCAGAACTGAGTTGGATTGTTGTTGAAAAGATAGATAGAATACAACTCACCTCTTCCTTTGTACGATATGCTTCAGAATAATAATCGAGCACATCGTCATGACCATCGGTGTCCTTCTTTTTCTTGTTAGTTCGGGTTGATTTGATTCATTCAATCTCGCTATCAGAATTCTGGCCAAGAGCAGCACGATCCATCGCATCGGGCTGCCAAAATGAAATGCATCAGTTTCAACTATCTCTTTCAAGACTATGAAGTATCATCATCTAACCTCGGTGACATTGGCGGCTTTAGTCTTCTTGCGTGTTGGTTTTTTCTTTCGTGAACTCTTCTTCTCAGTAACATTCTGGCTTTCAGTCTCACTATCATCTAATACGACATGTTTCCGTTTTGGAGGTGGAGGCTGAGCTTGAATTGATATAGCGGCGGATCGACGTGAATCAGATGATGGAATTATCATATTCGGGGCTCTTCGAGGGGTGATGATGCGACTAGTTCTTTGAGGGAGGACACTAGAAGACTTGTCTTCGTTCCCACCTGTGTTGGCATTGTTGTCTGTAGGTTGTTGTTGTGGAGTTGGAGTGACATCTCGAGTATGGGTAGTTGATTCGCCGGGTTCATCGTCCATGATTGGTCGATGAAGATGAGTTGGAGAGAGTTGGGATTGGTGGTGGAAGGAGGTTGCGATCGGAGGTTGACTCGTGGGAAGGTCAAGATGTATACGGTATGTGTATACATCTTGTATAAAAGACCTAACAGACCAGGTATCGGGCCAAAAACAAGGCCCGACACCCGGGTTGACCCAGCCACAGCAGGGCTGGCTCCTCGGGCTACCCAGTGCCGCTAAAGCCGCTAAGTTAGCGGCTTTGGCCTTCCTGAAGGCCTTAGCTTAGCGGTACATACAACCGCTAAGCTAATTAGCTTAGCGCTGGCCCGCTAATGAAAATTCATGGGCCCCTTAGCTTAGCTGGCGCGCGCTAAGGTTTTTCCGCTAGCTTAGCGCAAAAAAATTGCTAAGCTAAGGCACCGCTAAGCGCTAACTTAGCTTAGCCGAGCCACCGTTGTGCTGGTAATCAGTCAAAGGTCTACTATGAAATAACAGTCATCTAAAGAGATTGATGAACGGAGATCAAATGTGTTTGGCGAGATATAATTTTATCTCCAATGAATCCAAGTAAGGTCTTTGATGTCATCAAGGTTGATGGACCACCTAAATCTGATGATGGACAATGGACTGCTCGTAAGGATTTATTGATACCATTTATTTTGCAATCACGTGAGATAGATCAAATAGAAGATTCATGAAAAGATCCAAGGAATAAGATTGTCATGAGTCTCTAGCTCATTGACATCAGGCATGACCAACTAACTGCAGTTTTGAGTTTATTGTCAAAGGAATCAAGTTTTAAAGGAAGATTCAATCAAGTCCAGAACAAACATTGCATACAGATAATGAGTCTCCATCTGCTATGTAGCAGTTTACCATCACATAAATGATCACAACAAGATTGCTGAGCTATAGTTGACGCGAGTAGATCAAGATCCAAAATTACTGATGGAAAATGAATCAGATTCATACAGCCATTCCGGATTTGCTTGTCGCAATCTTTTGAAAAAAGAAAGTTAGCAAACTCTTAACCTAACTCAAATTTCAAATGGCCTATGGGTTTATAGCATCACCCACAAATCACTATGAAGAGCATTAGTATTACCAATTGCAAATTGATTCCAGAACCAGTTTTCATTCAATATGCCCTTTGTCCACTACGATACTCAGATCAAGAGCCGCCATGCCGAGAAAAAGATATCCGGAGTTTCACTGGCTGATGCCAATCGTGAACTGATGACCAACGTCTGTAAGCGCTCAACTCAGCGATGGCAAAAGATTTTACTCGAAACTGGTTCTGTGATCCGAGACAAAGCAACCTACCTACGCACTGGCCCACCTTATGCATTGAATGAACACGATCTTCAACTGATATTTGAAATCCTTGAAGAAGACTCGACCCTGATGTTGGATGAGATCAGCGACATCTTGGAGGACCTCACTGAGAAAAAGCCATGCATTTCAACCTTACAATCCACCATCACCAAACGGCTTAACTATAGCTTGAAGAAAGGTCAAACTGTTGATCCTCGGCAGTCCGAAGAGCAACGAGCCGAGTATGCTAGAAGGGTTGCTAACCTGCCTTCCCAGTACTTAGTTTTCCTCGGTGAGTGCAGTTTATTTTATGTCAATGTCTTCTTCAGCTGACCCCTCTCTTTAGACGAGGTTGGCGTGAATGAACGTGATGTCGTTTGCACTCACCTTCGGGCACCAGTGGGTCAACGTGGACATCGTCTTCGTCGGAAACGTGAAGGAGAGCACTGGACTCTGTGTGGTGCAATCTGCGAGCAAGGATTTCTAGCTGGAGCTGTTGTTGAGGTCGGATTTGATCGGGAAGGTTTTGAAACCTTCCTGGAGTTCGTATTGGTGAGTACTTTACAACTTCATCTATTCTCTATCTATACTATAACGAGCTGATCATATTTTGACTCAGCTTCCCCGAATGAATAGATACCCCGATATCAACTCAGTCCTCATGATGGACAATGCGCCTATCCACAAGCAAGGCAACATTGAAAACCTGTGCTGGAACGCTGGTGTTCTTCTTGTCTATCTGCCCACCTTCTCGCCTGACAAGAATCCGATTGAAAAAGCCTGGTGGGTTATGAAGGCCTTCTTAATACGCTCAGGTGATTTTAAACGGGCCTTGGATAAAGGAAGATGTCTCTTGAAGACATGCAGCGAGTTATTCACTGCTGAAATAATGACTTCTCTAATCCGAGGAGGAGGCCATCAGCCTGCTTAAGATTGCTGGTTCTTTTCTATCTTACTTCTTTCTGTGTTTTAGCTTTCTACTCCACTGATTAAATACAATCGATAATTCACAGACTATTACAAAGTCAAAAGAAGTTTGCTTGCATCTTCTGACAAATGAGCCAAAACCAAAACAGAGTATAATGGGCTCGATCTGATTAAGATCAGATGCATATTAAGCATCAATCAAATTACCAATGCTCATCCAGTCGATCTGCTCAAGATCATCAAATTCATCAAATTCATCAAATGAAAGATGAGTGTCAATTGTACTGTAGAACAGAGACCAGCTCTACAGTACACTTGTGAAAGCGAGTCTGTCTCCTCGGCTTCAATTGATCAAGATCGAATGGCGAGATTGAATGGCTAATGATATTTAATCATCCATCCACTTTATCGTATTTTTACAAGTGCTTCACTCACCACTACTCACTGATGCTCATGATCTCAACTCACATTCATCAATTGTTCAATTGATTCAGATTTAATCCAAGAATGAATGAAAATTGACTGAATAGAGACCAGTTCTCTCTCATAAGCAAACACAAAATCATCACATTCCTATACATTCCATTAAACAGATAGACTTTATATCATCCTAACAATTTGAAATGTGATGTCAATTGATGAATATGATTCGATCCGTGTATAAATCGATCGAGAACAATTCACATCGATAAGATCTGAAATTCACATCGATAAGATAAAAAATGAGATAAAATGATGATTGATGCCATCTTGATGAACTTTGATGGATTTTGATCGATTGATTTTGAAAACCATCGAGTGGTTTGATATGATTCGATCCGCGTATAGATCGATCGAGAAAAGTTCACATCGATAAGATTCGAAAAGATGAGATCGAATGATGATTTTTGAAATCCATCCAGTGGTTTGATTGTTAACAAATGGATCGAGAATGATTCAGATCAAGGAAATTGAATAAGATAAACATTGATTTTTTGATCCGCTGAGAACAATCAGTTTCAAGTGGATTGGATGATTAAGTGGTTCAGCTGAGCTCAAGCCTGACGAGACTTTAGGTCCTGGCGATACTGTGAAGCCTTCGTTGACAAACGGACCGCAGGTCCGTGCCCTATCCCTTGGGATTTGAGAAAATCGATCGAGTTTTCGGCAGAGAAAAATTCATCGAATTCGATTATTTGAAGTTTTTTCAGAACATCTCGGGTAGTGCCATCGTTTTCTGGGATGCGGCAGAAGGTGAGGTAGTCTTCGAAATCCGGATAGGGTTGTGGAGCTGGAGATGTTGATCGTGATTGGGCAGGAACACTTGAAGGCAAAGTGAGAGAGTCTGCTGGAATCCCGGTTGGCTTGCCTGACTTCAGTACCCACTCGAATCCAGGTAGTCCCACTGGTGGTCGGAACAGGGTCACACCGGGTTTGCCAGCAGCCTGATGACAAGAAATCAGAGCATAGCAATGAGTGACGCATAAATGGGAGGTATTTCTATGGACTTACAATTAACTCGGCCCAAACATCCAACATTGGGTATGTGAGTCTCATCATGAACTTGGGTCTTTCGGGATCATAGCAGGTCATCCCCTCACGATGGCCCGCATGACCACTATTTCCATAGCGGGTCTGGAGCGCTGTGCGTATCTTGGTTAAATCAGCCTGTAGATTGATTGCATTCAAGGCCAGCTCGCGAGCCCTTTCGGGATTGGCTCCAGGATTATCTGCCAGCATGAGACGATCAAAAGAATTTGCCTGAAATGCGCCAGGGGTATGAGTGTGGTGGAGGGTATGGGGAGCGGACCCAGCAAGAGATGAACACTCACATTTTGTACGGCACGATTCTTCCTTGGCTTGGCATTCTCGTCAATCATTGTAGCAGTAACTCCCATTGATTTCCCTCGATTTTCAGAAACCACCACTTTGAAGCGTTCAAAATCAACATCCTTGCCAATGTTTTGTTGACGACCCTTCGGAAAGCTTGGATTATTAGTAACCCAGCCAAAATAATTAATGGTGCCTTTAAGATCAGCCTCTTTAAACAAATCTCTACAGCCCAAATGAAATCCCTCGGCCAAGTCAGCAACTGCGTCTTTGAACTCCTGAAGGTTCAAAATGGCTAGGTCAATTCTGACTGAAGTCAGACCAGTTTGTTGACAGACTGAAGTGGGCCGAACTCCCCTGCGTTGATCTGCTACGCTGATGTGTTGGGATTTGAATGCAGTCATCTTGAATTCAAACAAAGTCCCAGCATGCATTGGTCCTGAAACAAGTGGTCTATTAGGTGAGGCACTTCGTCGCATGGCCACCAAAGACGACACCGGTCGTCCACGAGCCCTAAAGCAAGGGCAAAATAGTACACGTGATCAGTTCACTTAGTGACAGCCTCAAGGGAGACTAAAGAGCTGCAGGTGTGCTAGGGTGTGCTTACTGCATGGCTAGTTGAACTGATGAGGGCATGCTTCAGGTGTACAGCTGTTGAATTGTACAGTTGGTGAAGTAGACAGCGGTTGAATGGTTGCTGCTCAGTGCTGGTTGCTCAAAGCGGAAGGTGGCTGAAACTTTACAAAAGTCTATTCATCAAAGGTGTATGGGTTTTAGGATAATCTGATGTATAATCTTTGAGATTTTACAGCCAAATTCAAGGTTTTATCTGGTAAAAGACTTAGGTTTCAAGTTTTCAAATTTTCTTTTTTCAAAAGATTGCGACAAGCAAATCCGGAATGGCTGTATGTGTATGGATGATCTCAAGCTGGAAATAATCTATTCCAATTCTTTCGGTCATACACAATCAAATAACAAAGAAAACAGGGAAATGTAAGGGGTTTTCTCTTTCCGAAGATGGGGAAGGAGAATAGAACTGGTACGATGATGATTGCCATCTGTGAGTGATAGCCGAACTCACGTTGCGAGTCTTTGGTTGGGGATCAATGTCATGTGATTTGGACAGTGATATACGGACGTCCTGTCTCTTTCATCAATTGTAAGTCTCCCTCTGCCATTTATCTCTCCAATCGCCCTCACACCGCGGGAATCAATGGGTTCGAAACCCGATTGGAGAAAGTTGCGGTGACAGGGTCCGCAACTTGCTTCAATCGCTAATTGCGTTCGCAATGCGTTCACAATTGGTTCGCTGTACATCATCGATACCGTCACGGTTGCGAGCTATCAGGCTTTGTGCCGTGTTTCAACCTTGTTCAATTTACCTCTTTATAAGATATTGGAGCCTCGTTTTAAGATCAGACACGGCAAGCATTGTCTCTTTTGAACAGGTGACAAAACTTCTCAGGAGTACTAACCACAGATAAGTACCCTTTAGAGGGAGTATGTGCCGGGGTCCTAAGCGAATCATTTCTTTCAAAACAATGTTCAATCACACCGGATACATCTTCTGGCACAATGTATCGAGACCATTCGGCTTTGAATGTGCTCTCTCGAGGGCGTACAGCGAACCAATTGCGAACCAATTGCGAACGCAATTAGCGATTGGAGAAAGTTGCGGACGCAATTAGCGATTGGAGAAAGTTGCGGACCCTGTCACCGCAACTTTCTCCAATTGAGTTTCAGACCGATTGATTCCCGCGGTGTCATCGAGCTTCAAGTCTTTCGTTTATATTTCGGGTTGTCGATTGAACACCCACACCTTTACCAACCGGCGTCTTCACCCTGGCTGGTCAAGCTTCAGTAAATATCCTTACAGCCTTCCTGATTGTGACTGATCAGATCGCGCAGAAATGCCGCTGACAAAGCCCCTGCCCCTTCCGCGCTCACCTTCTACCAACGCAGTTGCGCAAGGGGGTTTAGTCAAGCAGACATGGTATAAGGCCGAGTAAGGCTGTAGAAGCAAAGTTGGCTGAGCTCATAAACTGAAGGCTTGTGTGATTTTCTCAAGCTTGTCAACTGAAATCGTCTATATAATACTACAATCAATCAAGGCTTCAAAAATGGTGTACAACTTACGACCAAGAAAAAATATGACAAAGAACTCAAATCATTTCAAAGGTTCATCTGATCCTTCACATCCTATCACTTCAACCTCAACCCCGCCTTCGCACACTCACGGTCAAGGGAACTTGTCATCTATTCCAGCCGAAATTAGAGAAATGATCCTGAACAACATTCCGAACAAAAATGATGATGACCTTCGAGGTATTCAAAAGTTTCAAAATCCAAGCCGAAGTCAGTAAATTTGCTTGAAAATTCCTCTACCCATCTTCATCCACAACCAGTTGCACAAACCTAGTTTTTTTGCTTTTACATCCAATATCACATCTATGTATGATCATATACTTTGCTGACACTATTGCTGCACTCGTCTGAAATTTCAAAGGTCTTCCCTTGAAGGAGATTCGATCACTTGCCTCTGCCAGTCGTGCATTCTATCAAATATTCTCTCCTTATCTTTTCCAGGTAATTTGTTTCTATCATTGTCATCCTATTCTATTCTCATAAATCAATAACTGATGTGATGATTTTGATTCTGCATTCCAGGCCTTAGATCTTCAAGGCTTTACGGTCGATAGATTGCAGTTTACACTTGACGAAATCATCAAAAGGCATTCAGTTCATGTCAAAAAAATGCGGTGGAGAGTCGCAGACTATGATTCAGTTCAAGAGGAGCTTAAAGAACGGTCGCATACGCGGGAAAGTAGTCAAGATTCATCGCATACGCAGGAAAGTAGTCAAGATCCATCGCATACACGGGAAAGTAGTCAAGATCCATCATGGCATTCACAGTGGGATCTCAAGTCACGATCTGAACTCTTACTTAGAATCCTACAATCGTGTCCTCATATCACCGATCTCGACATAGATCTTGATACAAGACTTTCCATACCTACTGAAAATTCTGAAACATCAGACTCAAAGAACGTTCAAAACTCTTCAAGCTCAGCAGACAATCCAATGCGAGTCTTGTTTATTGAACCCATCACTCAACTTACTTCACTCACTCATCTTTCACTCACATCTGCTTATCGGGGACCACCCTACACTGAAACCTTTGTCGCCGAAATCATTGCCCATCTTCATCAACTCAATTTTTTTAGTTGTACTGGGATTGATGCTATACATCCGAGGCCTTTGGAAGATCAACCAGCTAATTGTCAATCACCACTTGGAATTCATCTCGCTTCGCTGACCAGCCTTGTCGAATTAAACTTGCACAGAGCTGAATGTGTGGACTCCAGTTGGAGTCAACTTGATTGGAAAAGTTCATTGAAAGTGTTATCATTGGTATATTGTCATCGAGTCTCAGTACCAGCCTTACATAGATTCATCGAACCTTTTAGCTCAAGCTTAACAACACTCATATGCAATAACCTGTGCAATTTTGCTTATGGTCAGTTGAACCCAGTGGCAAGCCCCATTTGGGGTGACATTGAAAATGACAAATATCGATTCGAATTACCCAAGCTAGTCAACTTGGAGATCTCACACTATTTACCCATCCAATTCGCAAGATCCTTTTGACATTCAACAAAGCTCACATGGATCTCATTAGGTGACCCGCTCCAAAGCAAAGACGATTTTGAAGCTTTAATCACAGATAAACTTTGGCCTAAGCTGAAAAAGTTTGAATTTCCTGATTATAAGCAAACTTTTCTTTCGCCCGAAAACTTCAAACATATACAAGAAGTGTGTCAAGAACATGGCATTGAGATGCTCTTTGGTGGAAAAGTTTATGGTGAGCATGAGGATGAGGATGTTTTTGATGAAGCCATGTTTGAGGCTTTTGTGAATGAACATCAGGAAGAATTGGACGAACTAGCGTATGGTGGTTATGAGGATTACGATTATGAACCAGAAGAGTATGATCCATATTAATGTTTTGGTTCACCTCACAGTCCGTATTGATTTGGTTCAGGTGACAGATTTTCTTTCAGGGGTGCAACATTTGCTTCTTCCAAACATTGACATGTAATTCAACACTAGGCACAAGGTGCTGCTGGCCTCCAGTGTGAGAAGCTCTCCAATTTGTTTTTTTCTTCTTTCTCTTTGAAATTAATTTTGTCGTGGCCCAGTTGAGATTTGCTACGGTGTAATTGATGAGGGTAGCACCTCGTGGGCAATTGCCGAATGAGTATTAAGACCAGTATGTGGTCAAATTACAAAAACAATCAAAAAGTAAAGTATACCATGGAAGTTGGAACTTGATTCTTTCAAAGTGAATTGACCATAAACACATTTCTGTGCAAAAAGAAGTATGTATACATTCAAAAACTCATTAAATCATCCTCAACCCTTTCCCCCAAATAAAATCACTCATTCCCCCCCAATTCCATGTATAAAAACTTTTAACCAAACACATATAAATATAAATATATATATATATTCTAACAGTTAACAACAATAAAGAAAACCAACTTAAGAAAAAATGAAAATCTAGCAAGCCCTAAGAAAAAAAACCTCATCACAAACTTAAACCACAAAAAACATCATAAATCTAATCTCTTTGCAATCACAAAACATAATATATATATATATAAAACTCGTATATTTAAAAGAAATCATAAAAAAGGAAATCAAAAAGAAAAGAAAAATCATAAAAAGGAAAGGAAATCAAACAAAAAGAAAGAAAGAAATCCTATAAAAGTTTAAATCCTTAATCTTTTACCTGACTAACAATTGCATAGGCCGTTAAACTCATCAACGCAATTCCAGCCGCCGATAAATAAGGAAGTAATGAACCCTTCTTATCCAACACATACACGTCCAAAGAGTAAAAGAAAATACGAAAAATGTCAGCCTCAAGTCTTCAATCATATATGCAAAAAGTGATGATTTCATTTCAGAAAATAGAATGTAGTCTTAGGATTACTCAAGAGAGAGAAAAAAAAATTGATATGATATCTGATCTTTTACAGTTAGAAGTATACAAAGCAAAGGTACAGAGAAAGGGATACAATCGAATCGAAAATGAAGTCTCAAAGGTTGATTGATTTATACAAAATCCGAAAAAAATGGCAATGCAAGAATAAAAGATTAAATTTGATTTGGTCGCGAGGTATATGAGATGAATGGGTGTTTTGCGTATCGCTAAGTAGGTTTAAGTTCATAAAGACTTGGAACCACTCGAGACGGCGTATATAGGATGAATAGAATCGAGAGGAAAATGAAAAAAGGATCCAAAGAAAGTGATGTTGAGAAACAAATATCAACGCACATCAATTAATGATCTACCCACTCCTCCTTCTCGATCTGTATTATTTGAACGTCCATTTGAAGTTCTTCTATCTATCCTATCTGATGTTGATGTTTGAGGAAGATTACCGGATTTGGGATGTGTCATCGTAGCATCTGAAGCATCTGAATGTTCATCAATCAACAATCGATTGATAGGATCCAGTTGACCTGGAGGACCATCATCATCGAATTGGTTATGATTACCAATTCTCCTTCGAACTTTCTTGGGTGATCGACTAGGCGATAAGATCTTAGTATCATTTACGGTCTTTGGAATCTCCCGGTTGTTCAAAGCTTCTTGTACGTTCTTACTCTTTTTCTTCATAGTTTTCGATGGTGATGAAAATGAAGATAAAGGATGTGATGAATTACTACCAGATGCTTGAGGATTGTTTTCATTCTCATTCTCATCATCATCATCACTTTGATCTTCATCTACTTCTTCATTCCTTCGTTCTTGCCAATCCTGTATCACTTTCAATAACTTTTGTCTTTCTGCTTCCCAACTTTCTTGTTGTGTTCTCCATCCTTTTTCGATTTGTTCTTTCCATGATGTCCATTTATTTTCAACTTTTTTAATGATATCTTCTTCTGATGATTGCATAGATTCATAGTGTTGCTTTTGCTTTTCTTGCTCTTGCTTCAAGTATTGTATCTCATGTCTCAATTGATCAATAGTCTCTGTCGACTGACGTTGCTGTTCAACTAAGTTTTGACCCATCTTGATCGTATCTTCTACATGAGTTGATATTGCTTCGATTTTTTCCGTGAGCTTTTGGTTTTGCTCGGTCAGAGATTCTAGTTGATTGGCATCGATCGGGGAGGCATTTTGAGCCGGTGACGATATTCCATTCGGTCTCAAGTGAGTCTTTTGAAGTGAGTTTGTGAGCCACGTAACAGTGTCATTACTAGCCAAACTACGGCTATCGTCATCGTCGTCATCATCATCACCACCACCTCTACCCATTTCATCTTGTTGACGTTCCTGAAGTTCAAGCATCGCAGCCACAGGTGAGACCCTACCACGCATATGTTCTTGCTCCTGATCAACGCTCGAAGTTTTCAAACTTGAATGTTTATCCTGCCTAGTAGATTCAAGCTGATCACGTAATTCCCCTACTTCACGTTTCAATTGTTCATGCTCGCCCATCAAACCTTCTAAAGTTTTCATTTTTTCAACATGAGTGGTCAGAGAAGCTTGAGTTTCGGCTAGTTGAGCTTGAAGTGCGTTTGTTGCCTGTAGATGAGGTTGCTGATGGTTCAAAGGTGGGATTCGACCCCCATAAGGTGGTGGAAGTGGTGGTGGTGGTCCAGCACCACCACCAAGTGTGTCGTGAATTTCATTCATGGCTGAGTTGAGGGTACTGAGTTCCTGACCGGTCGCCCTAGACTTTTCGAGTTCACTCTAATCATTCAGTTCATATGCATGAAAGAAATCAGTTAACAATTTCATGGAAGAGGTTTCAAATTTCGATCCCAATAAGATGCTTACTTGTAACCGATTCAGGACATGATCAAAACTTCCACCTGCAAATACTCCAGGACGGTTCGCTCTTCGGTTCACTCCACCGTCAGTACCATTAGCTCGATAGAAGCTGGAGAATGGATCAACATGATTAGTGATATAACCCAGAATGAGCCTGAATTGAAAGATGAAATGGAAAAAGGCAGATTGTGTGAAAGACAAATAGAAAAGACTATAGATCATCAAGAGATAGGAAAGAGGGTAAAACTAACTTTGAAGCAGCAAGAGCATCATCCGGATTAAGAACAAGAAAGACCTTTGTAGAAACCTTGTGATGAACTACAGATTTATTATCATCTGCAATGATATCGATCCCGAATTCGACTACATCATCTGTATGTAGCTCAAAGGCTTCAGATTCAATACCTTCAGCAGATAGTCGTTCTCCATTAATAAATGTTCCATTTGAAGATTTAACATCACGAATAAGAACCTAATGAAGAAATCCAATTCAATATCAACAGAAAAAGAAACAATAAAGATATTTTTCAAAATTGACTTACTTTTCCATCTTCAGTCCAAACTTCAGCATGAGCCCTACTTAGTACTTTAGAATCGAAAAAACCATTTGTAGAATTAGGTACAGTTTTTTGATTAGTTTGACGACCGATTTTAACTTTAGCACCATTTGGATTTAAAGCGATTTGTTTTGGAATAAAAGTATCATTATGTGGATGTAAATGTAATGCTGGAAAGCTTAGATGATGTGATTGAGATGATTGAGGATTGAAGTTATTTTGATTTGGAGGATGTGGATGTAGAGACATTTGAAGTGGTCCTTGAAGTTTGAAGTTTGATTGAGAATGAGAAGTTGAGAAGTTGAGTTAATGAGAAATTCAGAATTAAAGAAAGACAACTTTACAACAACATAACTCACTTTTAATCGATCGAACACAATCACTCCAAAACTACATTCTCAAAAACTACATTCATGAAAACTACATTCTATTTCAAAACACCCTCATCCAAATCAAAATCCAACACAATTCATCCTGGATCATCATCATATCACCCATATCTTGGAAACAAGATTCAAATGAACTCTATCAATTCAGATATAAAAAAAATTGACATCCTTTCCAACCGGATAAACTGGCAAGATTTAATTATGAGACTGTTGTAAAACCTTACTCAGCATATACACATGGAAAAGAAGGAATATCTGATAGGTTCAAGAAAAAAACTTTGTATATGCCAAGGAAAAAATCTGAGATCTGATGATCTGAACAAGATTTTTGAGAAACCCTTTTTTTCAAGTGTACATATATACTCAAGATCATCTCAGACTCCACTCTCAAATAGAATTCGACAAAAGACTCGATTGTCAAAAGCAAATCTCTTTTCTTCGAATTTAAACTTCAATGTCAAGTGAAATACACAAAGAATTCCTCTACATTCAATTCAAACCAATCACAAAGAAAACCATTTCAATCAAACTAATCCAGAGTTTTAATTTCAATCTTCCCATATCAACTTTCTTTGAATCGACTGTACTTAAACATATAAATGCATCATCATACAAAATAACACTATCACTTAGAATTTTTTTTTTCGTTTCAAGAAAACATACTTCAATATATTCTCAAGAATTCCTTTTTAATAAACAAGATCAATCCCATGATGTTCAAGCAAATACAAGTTTTAAAAGAAAATGAAACCGATTGTAAAAAAAACATAAAAAAAAAGAATGTCACATATCTAAGTGTTCTTGGTAAAGAATCATCTTTTAAGATGGAGATTTCGCTAATCTTAGAATCGCAGCAATTCTATTAAACCAACAAAATCCCCACATCATCAGTTTCATCGTTTTGAAAAATCTCATCCTTTTGTTTATAACAGAATTATAATTGACAAAAAAAACTTACCCTTGTAATGCGATTTCAGCATGACCAAGTTCACCAACCATAGAACCGACTTCAATACCCATAGCAGGATTAAGATTTCTACTTTCATGTTCCAAAGGTGATCGATGATCATGTTCAACTTCATTAACATTACCCATCACCAAAGGTGTATGAGTCATACTTTGAAATCCCGACATGAGATTATTGACAGGTTTCTTAGGAGTAATGATTTGTGGGTTGATGAACCTTTTAGGTGATGGATGTGATGAACTTAATCCAGCAGCAAGGTGTGAACAAGTCGATCTAGATCTATGATCACTAGATGGGATTTGATTACTTGTTCTTGTCACTCTTACTTCTTCTCTTCTTTGATCACGGTTCACAAATTCATTCAATCCTAATTCTTCCATCATCTCTCTTCTTCTTCTTTCATGTTCATCTTCTACTTCTACTAATCTCATCTTTAATTGACGTGCACGTGAATGATAAGTTTCATCCAATTCCAAGAAAGCTGATCAAAAGAAACTCAAAATCAGTACAATGAACAGATGGACGTGAGAGACCGATCACCTGACTTACCTAGCATCCTGTCTCGATATTGACTAGGCAAAGCATCTGGAAGACGTTCGTTTGTAGAAGGATGATCAGGTGCTGGATAATGATGATGATGACCCAATCGTACTCCACGAGGTGATCCTTCAGAATACCTCTCTGAATGTAATGAACATTGCTCCCGAAGACGTCTAGGGAACGCTTGATCAAGATGAGCAAAAGACGACGGAGGATCCATACTGGTTGGATGATTCGATGAACCAACAGGTGATGGAAGTTGCCAGTCTTGTTGACTAAGTGGAGAGCAAGGTTTTTTATCTTGACCTGAGTTAATTTGGGTGGAGGAGTGTAGTAGTGAGTCGATGCAACGATGTTCAGAGCCTGGAGGAGATGTGGAGATTCTTTGATCAGAACCAGAAGCGATCGGCTGTTCATCAGGTCGAGTGGATATGTCTTGTTCTGGCTTCGATGGATTCAAGTCATGGGTGTGGTGAGAATGATGAGAAGTATTGGAGTGATGAGAATGATGAGAAGCATTGGAGTGATGAGAATGATGAGAAGCATTGGAGTGATGAGAATGATGAGAAACATTTGAATGGTGCTGAGCAGAGTGGAGCTCATCATCCTGAGCTTGTATCAAGCATGATATTGGACTTTGAAAGCAAATCTCACGCCGTGGAGAATCACCCCAAGTCTCACTACTCTTCATAGTGTGATCATTTCCAGGTTGACCCAAGCTTTCCCTGTGAACCGAATCTTGCCTCTCATGAACTCCTCTCGAACTTTCACGCCCAACACTACCAATACTACCAGTGCATGGTTGATGGTGTCTTCCATTGTTGTCCATACGCGTACCTGCGTGCGAATACCGTAAGGCGCCAAAATCTAGATCTTCAGTGAAATCGTTGGTGGTATCCACATCGTCATACTGTAAAACGTGATCTGATTCGGAACCGTAAGGTATCATTGGATAAAGCGGGGGCTGATTGAATACCAAAGGGCGACATTGATCAGGGGACTGTGGAAGTTGGGTAGGACTGGCAGATAGGGGTGGGCCAGATCCAACTCTAGTATCATTCTGATTTGTTCCAGTCTCATGCAGATTGTTCGAGTCATCCCTATGGCCCTCAATCGGAGATAATGCTGAATCAACTTCTTGCACCTGAGAAAGTTGGGCTTCTTGATCGTGACTCATGATCAATCGATCGGCAGCTTGTAGCAGGTTAGCTCCATTGAACTCAAGTCCTACATCCGGGGATGCCAAAAGACGATCGACACCCGCCTCAATACGATCGATCTCGGGGTTTAAGTCTGGTATGTTATTGTTTACAGAGGAGCATCGAGTCTATATCGTGGGATGAGAGCGCAATCCGTCAGATTCATGGTCAGATGTCGAAGAAAAGGACAGAAATATACTAACACTAGATCTGGCTGTTTCGGACGCGGAAACAGCAGCGGGAGACGCTCGATGTGTTGAGTTATCCATCAGTTGAGCGCTTGACAAGAAATTCGGTCGATCATCATTTCCAACACCGACCGTAAGATCTGGCTGTGACCTAGAATGACGTATGGGTGCCCGTTCATGGGATCCAGCCCCGGGTTCATTTGGACTCACAGTTTGTGGTTGTGTATCCTCGTTCGACTTGACTAGTGAGGAGTTTGGACGAGACTTGAGAGTATCCATCATTTCATCTAGTCTTACCAGTTGAAAATCATAATGATCCTGAATTTTTCGGAGACAGGACCGGTCATCTGTTGCATCTTTAGTGAATTGAGCTTCGATAAGTTCAATTGCCCGATGGAAGGCTTGACCGACTTGCTCTAAAAGCTTCAATCGATCTTCTATTGTTAATTCAGGTGGATCTACAGACTCGTTCAAAGCGGCTGTTGTGTCTTCATGCTCCTGGAAGCCTTGCAATAGCGCATCAGTTTCCAAATCAGTCAATGGCGACAAGCCAAGTCCGATTCGAAGCCCGATGAAACCTAATGCAGCCCAACCTGCGTGATTGTTCTTTCCCTCATTACTGATCACCTCACTCATGACACCTAAGCTTTCTCTCCACCGCCCAAACTTTTCAAGGTAATGAGCCCATTCAATCTTATATTTCATAGCCTCACCGGCCGTTCGACTGTTGAGGATGGCTTTCCGAAGTCCGATGGTTGCATTGTGAGCCTGTTGCTGTTTTTCGGATTCGTGTTCCGATGTGGGTGGGATAGCTGGATTTTGTTCTGATAACGCATGTAGCTGAGCCCATGCTTTGCCCAAAGATGACCAAGCCCATGGGTCAGTGGAACTCATCTGAAGACTAGTCTCTAAATGCCGAATTGCTAGCTTGATACCGGCTGCACCTGCATTGCAGGATAGGTAAAGGATTCCTAGGTCTCGGATCAGAGTAGGATTGTCGTTATCAGCTTGAAGTTGTTGCAAAATCACTTGCTTCTGCTCCAAAAACTAGAATTTTAGCACGAGGTTCAATACAATGGGCGAAAAGGATAGGAAGAAAAGGATAGACATCAGCTCATCAGTTCTTCATATATGTGCGCCAAAGAAAAGTTGACACGTACCTTTTCTTTCTTTTCTTTTTCCTGGCGCCTTCTTTCATGCTTTTGAGCCATTGTCTCAGAGCGCAAGTGTTCGTCCAATTTTCTCTTTTCACGTTTCTCGCGTTTCAATCTTCTAGCCTCCCTTCGTTTTCGTTTTTCCTCCAACAGATTCAAATCCTTCCCTTCCTTACCAGTACGCCCCTGTTCCGGCAAACTTGTTTTGATCGGGCAGGTAGTAGATCGAACCATCACTCTAGCTAAAGGCGCAGATTGCACACGATTTGTCGAGCTCATTTTCATCAACTGAAGACTATGCAAATCAGCCTCGTTCAATCGGTGGACCAACGAATTATTCGGTTGACCATGGACGACATGTGATTCAATTGACCTGAGTGAATGCATTGACGGACGAGTTGAGAGAGAGAGGCAAGATGTTACCGTTGTAAGGGATCTCTCAGTACGCTCACTGGGTAGATCAATCCATCGATGGTCAGAAGGGATGTGGGATAAGATTAATAGAGGAAAAAGATGAGTCAAAGTTTCAAAACACAAGGAGCGAATTGCAAGGAATGAAGTCAATTACCTAAGTGGACTCAGCAGATGGGATTCTAATCCCCAGGTGTTTCCCCAACGGTCTTTCATTCCTCTCCTCTCTTCGCCGCCCAGACCGATCACACGTTTGAGACCACCAGGAAGGCTAGACGAGGCACCGTTGTCGATACCGGCCTGATAACCTTTCAAGGAGAGAGCGAATCGATCATCGATTCCAGTCTTCAATTTCCATTCATCCATCTCATGTCGATTGAGCGAGTCAGCTGGCGGTGCTTTACGAGCATGGGTAGGTAATGATGGAGGTGGATTGATTGTAGTCCGTTGCGTTCCAGCTGTGCGCCGCGCAACAGTTCCTAGACTAGCCACCTGGCTAGGTAATGGTACAGACACCGAACGTGGATGAGGAGGTGAACTGGCGCGGTCCTCAGTTTGTGTCGGTGTAGTATTTAGATGTGTAGGTTGTGAACGACGTTGGTATGAGTCAGGAGTTGAACGAGACGAAGCCTGGATGCCAGATCGGGATGAATCGCTAAAGGCAGTGACAGGGGCATTCATTTCATTTGAAAGATCCGCATACTCTTCAGTTTCATCAGCTGGAATAGATTCTATGCGGGTGCCCAGACCTTCTAGAGGTGATGAAAAGTGTGAAGTGGCGGGATTGGAATCTTGATTCGGATCATGCGAAGTGTTATTACTACCTACCAGCCCCATCAATTCGATCTGGGCCAGGAGAGACTCAGCTTGATCAAGTTGAGCAAGTTCATGAGCGCAAGGCATATCCGAATCACGGCCCTGATGACCAAGCCGTTGATCCGAAGGACTCATCATACCATATGTGATATGATGATCACCAGAATTCCTATTGGACTGTTTCAAACTCCAACTGCGCTCCGCTGCCATCTCAGCGGTACGGTCTTCTTTGATAGGTGAAAGACCAGATTCCTCGGAGCTTTGATCACTAAAAGTGTTAGGGTGGTCATTTGTGGGTGTCTTGGTCTCGTTTCGCATCGTATCCTGGGTTGGAGTTGGGGGACTAGGACTGGGCTCTGGGAGTCGAGCCTGTGGGGTGGTCGCGAGTGCTTGTTGTAAGCTCATGCGAGCTCGGATAAGCTGTTGGTTAGCGAGATCCTCGTGGGGATCATCAGTCGATGATGAAGTATCGGTCATGTCCTTGTCGCGTTGTTCGTGTTTCAGAACAAAGGGTGAAGACAGGGGACCAAGACCGTGTTGGTAGGGATGTTGGCTGTGAGGCTCCTCGGGTGTCAGGTTGTCGTCGGTTACCATTTCGCCGGTATGATCCCCGATGACTGTTCCAGGGCATATTCGCGGCGGCATCGCCCTTTGATCGTTGGTATCACAAGGTGACAGTTGAGACAAGTTGCAAGCCAATCGGCCATTCGCAATACCAGCTTGTGTAGTCTCAGATATCCACTCATTTACACTAGCCACTTCACTTGTGATTTCAGTGATCCCTGGTTCAATCTTAGACGCCACACGAGAAAGCGGGGCTGGATGAAGAACTACATCAGGTGGTGCTGAGACTTCATTGTCCAGGAGCTGGGCTTCGTCGTGACCGTGATCGACGAGAGAGACAAAGGAGGTATTGCCAGATATCGTTAGCGCTGGGTCCTTCATCGAACCTTTACATGACCTTCGCATAGTCTCCATATCGGGAGAGTGAGATTGGGATGAGCAGGCCGTCTCACGAGCCCATTTTTCAGTTTCACGTAATTTGGAGTGTTTCTTCTGTAGTTCAGAACTCGAGGTTATAGCCGCTTGCCGAGATAAGTTATCATTTGATAACTTTAGAGGTCCTTGCTCAGTCTGTGGGGTTTGAGATCGCGAATGTTGTTTGGATAATTGAACCTCGCCATTCGAAGGAGTGGATCGAGCGCTTTCAAGCTGTGGATGTGGGTATTGTAGTAGTCCATAGACTACCGGTAGGGGTGCACCAGCCATACTCTGTATAGTTTGAGATGTGAAGGGAGCAATCCGATCGGCGTCGTCTTCCGATGTGAAACCGCGTTCGATTTCAGAGTTATTGGTGGAGGAACATAAGGAGTCTTGCCTGAAGACTCTAAGTCGGCTAGTACTTGAAACTGGAGCTTTTTTCTTTTTTGTGAGATCAGCGCGGGTTCGGAGTTTTGAAAGCAAAATCGGACAGAATGGAAGTGATGGAGATGGAGAAGCTGAATGAAGATCGAAACCGCAGCCTGAATCTAAAGAAGGTCGATGAGTCAATATCTCTTGAGGGGTAGATGAATCGTTGGGTGATCGAAGGTGTGAAGATCGGCTGCTGGTACTTTTTGATAAGACTGGATCACAAACTGGCTGTGGCAGTGCTGAGTCTGGAGGTAAAGGTTGTTGGGGAGGATTGAAAGTTTCGTCTCCAGTATGGCAAGAGGATTGAATGAGGTTCTCTTGTGATTGATGATGAGCGATTGGATATGAGGTTGGGGTATTTGACGCCTCGGACTCTTGGTAGGGTAATCGAGCAGTACTGACGTCGAAAGGGTGATGAAAACTCGAGCGGTTAACTGAAAGGGGTGATGCGTGACCAATCTTATTGATTCCAACTGGGATGGAAAGAGTCTGAGGGAGGGGCGAAGAGTTGTGGGGCGATGTATCAACGTCGGTCGAGGGCCCGGTATAATCGCAGTGACTGATCAAGCGAGCATGAGGAGAAGCAGGACTCTACGAAGCGAAAAAAGTACACTGTCAGTACTAGGACGAAAGCACCATGATAGGAAACGGATTGAAGGTGAGATCTGAGAAATTACCTTGGTTACACTGGGAAGAGCGGAATCCAAAGATTCAGTGGAGTGAAATTGGATCAAGTCAACGTCAGTCATTCTTGTCGGTGGGCTCGGTAGACTTGAAGGATATGCAAGGTGAGCAAACGGAGGATGAGATTGAGTTTGGTCGGCCAATGGAGGGTGATCGATTAATTGTGCCGTACGCTGGTGAGTTGACAATGGCTCATTGTAGTCTGTCCCACCCGGAGGAAAGGGGCCAGACAAGCCAGGCTGTCTAGGTAAATCGTCTTCAGAAAGGTTGAAAGGCCAGCTCAGAGTCAAGACCTGATGTTGGACTTGCGTCTGGAAATCACAATTGACATCGGAGAGCTCTCGAGGACAGTCGGTAGTCTGAGATCGTTGATTCGAGGGTGGAAATTGTTGATGAAGCTGTGACAGCTGTGCTTCCATCCTATCGCGATCATAGTTACACGAGGCAGACATCCTGCGAATAGAGACCGATTGGGAACGATCGACTAAAAAACTGTTGACGTGATCGGAGCAGTGAGGTGATTTGACATGAAAATTGATTGGGAAACAGTGGTAAGTGGTGTTTTAGATCGATCCAAACGGAGGGAAATTGACGAGAGCATACAGTCAGTTAAAAGAGACTAAAGATACACAACACAAAATATGCAACTGAGAAATCGACAAAGAAAAGGTCATCCAGAAAATAAAAAGTTCAAGGGAGAAAGCGGAGATTAAGCTGACTTGACTCTCTCCTTAATTCTATTTGCCTTGAAGATTATTTTGAATTTGTAGGTTAAAACTTTGTAATGTCGGCTTTGTCGGATTCTATTTGTGAAGATAGGTTTCCGATTGACGGACTGCCAGTTAATGAGACGAAGAGTGTGAGTATATCTTCTTTGTTTGTGAATGGGAAAAAGTGTTTCTTACAAAAATCAGTCAACTCGTTCTTGATTTCTTGTTCTTCAATTTGTATATGAAATGATATTTTACCCATCCGAACAATACGAATTTAACTTTGTGATCAATGATGAGAAGAAATCAGAAGTATATCAAACAAAACAAAGACAAACAATCTGAATTATCCTCCAGATACAATCTTCATATCATGGATGTTTTAAAAAGGACGCGCGTTATTCTTTTTATTCTTTTTCTTCCTTTTTTTCCTTCGTTTTAAATACTTCAAGTTATTACAATTGTAAATGCCTGTGGTGTTTTAAAAAGGACAAACCGGAACGAGTTAGAACAAGCTGCGAATTACAAAAATAGTATTCACATGAGACCAAACAGAACTCACATCACAGTCACAACAGTCCTCGCTAAAGCCAACTTGTACACATTCAAATTAAACATTCATAGTGATCATAACCGATCCGAGTCCATGCGTTTCAGGTAGCTAGCCGTAGCCTGATGATGAAAGAAATGAATCAAAGGTGCAGACGATTGAATTTCTATGAAGTAGAGAGCCTATTCTGCGAAGAGGAGTCGTCTGATAGAGCTAGGAGATACAAGTCTTTGGAGGTACCCAAGCATGATTGACCATTTAGAAGTCAAACTTGACAAAAGGTAATGAGAGATTATTCCAGTGAATAGTCAACAGAACTTCACAGGAAGCTCTTAAGTAGTCTCTTTACTTTGTTATAAATTCGTTTGTTTCTTTTAAAACTTGTAAACATCTTATCCGGACTTCAGTTCTGTCTTTCATCTGACTGGTTCAAAAGTGGCACGACGATCTTGATGTGGCATTTGTTATTTGGTAAATTCATGATGAACTCAAATATTCGATGTCCCTCATGATCACTTGTAGTTTCTGCTTCTTTTCAAGCTTCTTGGGCGTTTCGAATCAAAATCTACCAGAAAAGGGCTTATAGAATCGGTTCAAGATGAAGAGAATTGTGCGGCCACCCAAGGTTGTTTCTGCGTTCTTTCAAAGTGCGAAATTGTTCATCAACTGAGCCAATATACTCGGAAACAAGAGTTCGCTTCGACTTGCAGGTGCAGACCACAATACCCTCGTTGCTTACGATGCTTCAACGCTTGAGCCTCAACCCCAAGCCTGGAGTTTGTCTATAATTTGTCAAGGAGCGCAAAGTCTTGATCTTCGTGACTGCCTTGACCTTTTTGATCAGATAATTCAAGGCTTGAACTTAGAAATACATATCTTCTTCAGGAGCTTTGGAAACAGCAGAGTCTTGATAAGATTTTGAAGTCATTCTATCAAAGAAACCACTTACTCATCTGGTACTAATGTTCCATTACCAGTCCACACAAGTTCCTCTGAACCGGATGGAAAACGTCAACTCTCCTCAATAGCGAGCAAACACGTAGTAGGCGTATCTGATATTCAAAGTCAGACACTACATCGACCTGAACAATCAATCCAAGGAAAGCATTTTAAGATCCTTTAATTACTTAGCATCTATTTTTTCAATCGTTTTCTAATACCTCTTCTTACTAGAAGCTTAAAACATGGTATCATCCGCAGAATTACGCATGATTGACTATTTGACCAATCTACCATCGGACGCAAACCCTTACCTGAAAGCAGCCAAATATCTTCATGACCAACTTCAGGTATAGCTCAAATTTTCTTATCTCGACTAGTATTCAAACTCATTCACTGTCCTTACAGGTGTTTCGGACTCCTGTGTGGGCAAGGTGTATCAACGGAATCATTGGGATTTTGTTTCTCATGTCAGGATCCATTTTCGGTAGTCTTTAAAAATATGGATCTTCACGCAAAAAAGTACTCATACTCTTATACTTTTCTCTTCTCGTAATCTTATCATCAAGTCTTTTAATTCAATCCTGCAAACTTATCGTTAATCGTGTCAAGACCAAAACATTCTATCTTTTTAAGCTGAATACACGTGAGTTTCACAAAAACTTGACGGTTCAACATCTTCCTACCTTTAGGCTTGGAATGATAAAAGCGTAATACTAAAATTGATTCGATGAACATCTCAAATTCTCCCGCAAAAGTCGGGTTGATCAAATTCGATGGGGCAAATCATGGTTGTGTGGCCTATAGTTTTTGCAGTATGGGTAAGTCGTCTTGGACCTTTTAAAATTTAACCATCTTTTTACGTCCGACTGATCTTTTGGATTGTTTTACGGAACAATATCAGCCATGCTCATTGATATCATCTGTACAGAAATGTCGTTGCTCGGCTGGATATCCCGAAGGGTCGTTATCTTTATATTTGCTACGAGGTCTGTTTTAGTAGGTGTATGCGCCTGGTAAGTTTGTACGTTTTTTCATGAACTCACCAAACGTTAATCTTACATGTCTTGTTATACGATTACAATTTGCAAGGGGTGAGCAATATAGTGTTCTATGACATTCGAGCTCAATGCTGATGGCATTGTCAAAATTCTGTTCAGCTTTTCTGTGGCTCTGCATTTGTCATTACGCCGCGGTGAAGTTTGATCCTCTCAAATCTCAACGACCAGGAAAGGAAAAACTCATCTCACCTGTCATAATCTGGTCAATGAACCTGGCTTTCTTGGCAGTGATGTTTGGTCCATTCAGTCAGTCTTGGAAATCTCTCCTAAAGGGAAGAGATGCGGATGAAGAAACTCTTGTCAACTGAAATAAATCTCTATTTGATCTCTAGTTCCGATGTACTGGGCAAGCTTCAGTATTGATTCTGAATTTGTTTACATTACAAAACATCTTTCGCCGATCCTACAAAACCTATCGGAGGCAGGATCAACGTACTCTCCTACGACATATAATAAGTTGAATCTGTTCAAAATCTTGATCCCCGCGAAGGATCTGATTCCTCATGTTGTTGGTCGAATTTCTCACTTTCCACATTATCATCCTGCCGATATGCCCTGCTAACATTTTCTCTTCAATCAAAAAATCTTACCTTTTCAGTTGCGAATCGAATACTGCCTTCGAGCTGCACTTATCGTTTACCTCGTGGATGCAGTGATAATCTCTTTGGTGAGGCGATTGACTGATCTATGATTGACCTACTATTTTCTTGAAACTCAAAACAAAATGTTGGTTTCTAGACATATCCGATTATTCTCTTTTTGGTCTTTCGACATTTAAGGCAATATAATGAAATGAGCGAAAAAGTCAGGTCACAGAACAAATCAACAGCAGAGAGAGGCTTTGTAACATGTATATCAGCTCTAAGTTATGTGGCTCTGAATGCTTTGTTGGTGAGTGACAAAAGTTAATCAGAGATGATCAAGCGTACTGATTTGTTAAATTCTATACAAATCATTAGTTGAGCTTTCGAGGCGGTGGTTTCCTTCAAAATACTGCTTGGTGGCTTATTTTTCAAACTGTGATTTATTGATTTTGTTTCGGTTCATGATATATATTTTTCAATGAATCATAAATCTCATTTGATTTTTTCATTGATTTCTTTAGGGATTGTCTATTCCAGTTTTGTTGGCGTGTTTTGTGTGAGACCCTAGAGGAAACCAAGCTTTTGAATCAGGTTGATTGGAATTTGTACTGATTGATCTTTTTTTTTGATTTCTGATCTTTTTGCTTCCAAAGTACTATTCAAAATATATCTTCTAGTATCGAGTTGAAAAAGCAGCATCAAATCAAGAGTACGATTATAACACTCACTATAAGCGAACTCAAATGAAATCCCAAGGTCATTTTCTTTTTGGTAATCATCGAATTCGTCTTTTCTCTTCGTCCATTCCAGGTCATAATTCTTTTAAAATTTGTTCATGTTACGTCAACTATCTTTTATGACACTGACGGACTTGTCAATAGCCTTTATATTAATTAGATCAGGGATAACCCATGAATGCATCTATCATCATATAATCTATCACATCACCAATACAGCAGTGACGCTCATTACTACCATGTTATTCTTGACTATTTTTTCTGACTCCCAAACATGACCAAATGACCATGTAGCAGTAATGGCACATCCCTAAGCTATGTGGCAGCTGGCACCGAAGACCAATGTCTTGACTGAGGAATCTCTCAACCCTCGAGGGCTTCTTGGCCTGATAATACGTATTGTTTTGACCCAGGAAATACCTCGTTCACATAGGTGGTTCTCATACTCATACACAGAAAGACAGCTGTTATTGTGGGCCTTGTTACACTGGTTCACCTGCCTCTGGACATTTGGCTAGTAAGTAGATCTAAAGTGATGAGATCCTATACTTTGTATCCTATCAAGTTTTCATTGGTCCTCAAGATCAAATTCATAGGTGTGTAGCACACTTCTTAGCAACTAAACCTGTCCACATGAATTGTACCCTAATCAAAACATAATCTACTTCCCCTTGTTGAGCTGCCAATTTACCTGTCTGTCTGTGTGAATGATCCAATCTTCAACTAGGCAGATCCATATTCAACAGTGAAGGATTATACATGGGTTTGGAGCTTGTTTTATAACATGTGTGATCAATCATAATGTGTGAAGGTGCTCTCATAGAGTAGCTTTCATAGGTTTGACCCTTGGGAGCTAAGAGTTGAGGAACTAGCAAGGTTTCTGTAAATGTGCTAGTGGTTTTTTATTCAAGAATCTACAAAGAGTTAGGCCATTGCTATTTGCCGCCCGTAGAAAAGCCATGTAGGTGCTGTCAAAAGAGCACCCACATGGGTGTTATCCATGAAAAGTGCCTACACATTTGAGAAAAAGAATGTAGGTGCTATTGTCTGGTGCCTACATTGAGTTTTGCATATGTAGGTGCTACAAAAAAGCGCCTACATCCAATTTTGCTTGTGATAGAGCACCTCAGACTCCTGACTGGTCTCTTACAATCATCCATAATACCTTTTCAGAGAATTTTTGGAGTTGCAATGAGGATATTAGTGGATGAAAAAACCTGTTTGAGTTGAAAAGAGGATATCAGAAGACAAAAAAGCCATTTTGAGTTGCAATCAAATTTTTGGAGGACAGAAAAACCTTTTGGAGTTGCAATAAGGATATCAGAGAGCAGAAAACCCAATTCAAGTTGCAATTAGGATATTGGAGGATGGACAAACTCATTTGAGTTGTGATGTACATATTGGTGGGTGGAAAAGATATTGTGAGTAAGATATTGGTGGACATCAAAACCATTTTGAGTTGCAATGTAGGTATTGGTGGACCTAAAAGATATTTCAAACCAATATCCTAATTGCAACTCAAAAAGGGTTTTCTGTTCTCCAATAACCTTATTGCAACTCAAATTGGTTTTCCCATCCCCCAATGTCCTAATTGCAACATCAAAAGGCTTTTCTGTCCTCCAATACCTTTATTGCAACTCCAAAAGTTTTATTTGTCTTCTGATATTCTCATCACAACTCAAACTTGGTTTTTTGTCCTCCAATAACCTAATTACATCTCAAATTGACTTTTCTGACCTCCAAAGTCCTCATTAAAACTCCAAAAATGCTCTGAACAGATGTCATAAATGGCTGTCAGAGACCAGTGAGACGTTGCAGGTGCTCCAGCATGACCAAAGGTGGATGTAGGTGCTACAAAAAAGCACCTACATTTCAAATAATCATGTACAAGGCACTTTTTGCATCAAAAACAGCGCCTACATTGCGGATTTCAGAGCCAGTACCCACAATGCAGGTGCTTTTTTTGTGGGAAACCTGCCTGCAGAAAACCCATGGGGACAGCACCTCCATGGGTTTTCTGCAGGCAGCAAATAGCAATGGCCAAGAGTTAACATGTCTTGTTCCAGGCAGAGGCTTGTGTACCACTTACCTTCCACCTTCAAACCATCATGGGTGGGTCTCAAAAATGTCATACATCATAGTCCTCTTTATGAACACCCAAATTGAATAAAACCTTAGTTTCATTATACAACTCATTGTATTATGCATGATTCTTACATACAGTCCATATCAACCTACCATATCAACGTCACTGTGCGCATTGCTACATTTCTATATGAGATCAAGAAGCTACATACATACTCAAACAATACACCTTGCTACATACTCAAACAATAGATCTTATGGTACCCTCCTCCAAGCTACTTCTATATTACTTATGTTAGCATTGAGGAAATCTATCTCTTCTTTGGGGAAAGAAGTGATGATCAAATCTGATGATGAATCAACTTCTCTTTGCTCATCGTTCTCTTCTGCTTTTGCAAACCTTGAGGTGGATGAAAAGGTTCCAAGGCCTGGTTCATGAAATGCGGGTATGAACCCTGCGAATTCAGAATGAAGATAGATCAGTGACCCGACGTTCATGAGAGTTTTATGAGTGAGAGCATGGGAAGAGAGAAGAAAGATAAAGTTAGCAAAAGTTTGTAGTCGAGGAATCGAGATAAAGAGTCTTACATAGATATCCTAGGAGCGTGGCATCTGGTAGCAGGGATGCGTGGTTCTTTCCAGTCGATCCAAGTACTATTCTCAATAGAATCTCCCGATCAGCGTCGATTTTGATTCCACCAGAAGCATCGATGTTCTTTCCGCCTTTAATCTTCTTGAACACAGGTGTCTCCTCAGCTGTGGGCCAGGCTGGAACATCATAGAGTCGAACGGGCGTAAGGTAACGAGATTGAGATGCGATTGGCTCTTGGTTTTCGTTATCATGATCAGAAAAGCTGTTTGAAAGAGTTTCCTCCAGCTGGCTATCATCAATGTGAATCATGGAGCCGGATGTAGAGGTTTCCGTGGTGTATGTGGTTGAGATTGACGCTCGACTACCTGGGACTCGGGTTAGCTGGAAAATGGGGAATCATTCAATCAAGTTGAAAATTATAATGACCAAGATAAATCCCCTAAATAGATTGATGGCTTACCTCTACTGAGCGTCTCTCTGAATCGATTGTCTCAGGTACGCTTGACGGGTTTTCAGCTGTCAAGGATTTCGGCTTTCGCAGGGGACGCTTCTCTTGGCCGAACGAAGCAAATGCTTTTATCATCTCATCCTGATCTTCCCAATCCTGATCGTCATTCTTTCCTTCAAAAAGGGGGCGAGCAGTTGACACGTCGGGTGCGTGGCTCGGGTGACTGGCAGGAAAAGCGTAGTTTCTGTGGTTGGGAGGCTCATTTCCCTTGTCATCGCGCGATACAGGGGGATGTACTATGGGATAACATCCCGATCCTCGAAGCCGAGATTCCTGATTTCGAAGGTCGTGTGCATACGAGTCTTTATATCTCGCTAACTTACAAATATAATGACGGATGATCAAGATTAACAACAGTTGACAGAGAGAGTGCTTTCAATGTTAGAGAGAATCTACCCACTTGTACAGCAACCTTGCCCTTACTTGTAAATACTTTTGCGTATCTTACTGTTTCAGGGACAAAGACCTTGATCCATCGTATCTCAATCTTTTGTGGACCCGCTATGGTATTATGTTGTGGTCCTGGGGCAGGGCGAGGATCCTTGCCCAAGAGAACGTCCCCCCAATATCGGATAGAACGCCGTTGAGACGGAATACTTATACCATAAGGTACTGAGTTTGGATCGGCCATCCTTCTGCTTGTGTGGAATTGGAAAAGAGATAGAATCTTCTCGGCCATTCGAGTCATCAATATAAGATCCGAAGTTTGATCTTGTATTCTGACGGATGGGAGATCAGATGTTTCCACTCGGCGCGGCGTTCGCAAATCATCTACTATTTCGGCGACGGACTCATCACGGAGTGGCGCGCCCTCTACTTGTATTGATGTATCGGCTGGGGAGGTTGCTTCCTTCAATCGTGTTCGCTCACTGTGTACGGATGCCACAAGGCTCATTTTAGCGTAATCTGCATGAATCTTTCAGATGGAGAACATATGCTACCAGCCTATGGGGAGCGGGTTCTACCCTTACTGGTTGTGTTCGCGTTCCTGAACTCAAAGTCGGCTTTACGGTACCAGATACTTTATAATCTTCCTGACTAGCTTGAAGATCTCTGTCGACAATTTCGGCCATGTGAGACTGTCAAAGGTGCAGTATTGTAATTCAGTCTTAAATCAAGACCGAAATGATAGTGTAGATGACATACATGAGAGGATTGAGTCTTATCTGTAGTTGCTTCATCCAGTTGCTGTATAGATTTGATGTAAAGATCTTTGAAGCGTGGCGGCTGGGGCAGAGAAGCCAATGTCATCAGGTAACATACAGTCATCGTACCTGACCTTCCCTTTCCAGCTATTTGAATTAATTGCGTCAGATTTAACCTCATCCTTCACGTGATGAAAACCTAGGAAGTATACCTTTGCAATGAATGACTGCTATGTTGTCCGCCGCGGAGTCGAGGAAGTGGCTTATGTTGTGGACCTGAGGTTTGTTTAATCGAGAGAACAAACATAAGTTCCAGTCAAATGAGGTACGACAAGACATGTACGAGGACCCACAAACAAAGGGATCATCGAGAGTGGTGGGGCATGGTGATCGGGAAAAGGGAACCGTCGAACTTGGTTGTGGAAATACTGAAGAAAAAATTACGTCAGCATGACTTGAAGCATTCTGCGGATTATTGAAATCAGCGTATTCACGACAGATAACTATCAAGATAACGATTTACCGAGGCCTCATACTCATTTTCCTTCCGGGGACAAAAGTTATAGATCCGATAATGTTTGTCGTGACGTGCTTCCAGCCATCTTCGTACGTCTTTCCTAAAATGGTGACCATAAAACTTGACTTCAGACATTGCTTGTGGGGAAATCCACTCATCGAGTCCCAAATCAAATGTACCTCACCTGCGATTTCTGTACAGACTCTCAAGTCCGCTAGCAGGATAGCCCATTCTGCAAGGTTGCAAAACTTGTCAAAAACGGTCACCTAACCATCAAACCAAGGGAGATATTGGATGTTCGGATGACTTGCATGATGATCCTATCGGTGATATACGATAAATCTAGATCTGTGCCCAGCTCTTGATCCACCAATCGGCTCTTTTTGCCGCTGACGATTTCTGTCATTACAGACTGCGTCAATAATGATGAAGACAAAGGGTTGATAGAATTGAGATGATAACTGACTTCTGATACTGTCGAAGTTCATGTTGGTGTCCTGCAGAAATCCTGTGTCTTCTTTCCCTCCGGACTTAACACTTCAGAACGGTGACGGTGATGAGGTTGAGTGAAGGTGTGTTGCATTGAGCTTGAGCAGGCTTGAGCGCTATCGTCTATGTGCTCATATTTACGTCATAGCCCCGCATGTATTGCAGGAGTTCCCAAAGCCTGCGGCGGTATAGTGGGAACCATCAAGAGCCACTTAATCGGATAATTTTTCAAAAAAGATTGCCAAAGTCACAAATATCACTCAATTCAAAAATCAAGATATTTTTGGGGTCCTCTTGTTCAGGGCTATTGAAAATATCCTCAGAAGACCAATTTTCGAAGTTCTTGTTTTTTTTATTCCTGACGGTCAAGGGTGTACCAGAGGAAAATCAGATGTTTGTTGTATGTAATTACAAACTACCCGGTCCGTGGCTTCTTGTGTCTTGATGGTTCCCACTATACTCAACAGTCCATTTCTGAAGGTAGCACAGGAGTTGTGTAATGTTACACACACAGTTAGGTTTGACAGAACCACAGGAGTGTGGCACATTTAGAGGAACCGGAAAATTGTGAAAGAATTTCAGAGTACCACTCGCTTTTCTTTGCAAATTCGATTAGACTCTATAGGGGCTTCTAAGCTACTAAAAAAAATTGAGACCCACCCACCAGCCCGGTGCTGAGAAGCCCGAGGCTCCTGAGTTCTGGTCTCGCCGCTGAGGAGTGGATGGTCAAGGTTTTACACCCTAGAGCCTACATTTCCTCGGGGGGGGGGGGCAGGACCCCTGATAGTCCCTATAAAGGTCCACTGTGTCAAAACTCAATTTTTGGCCCTTTTAGCTCTGAGTGGATTTGCTGGCTTTTGCCCAAAATCCCATTTTGGCTCCAATTTGACCACATACATTTGAAAAATGCACCAAAGTGTGCCTAATTTGGCTCCAGGGAGACAACGAACATCTGAAACTTAGATTTGGGCATTTCAAAGTCCTTGGATGAAGCAAAAAAGTTGGAGAAAAAGGTTGAAAAAAGAACATTTTTAGAAACAAGAATTTAGAAAGTACACAGCCTTGAGACATTGGAAAATCCTGTGTTCATTTTTAATTTTTTGGTGGGTTGATGTGGAGCAGAAGGTTCAAAAGTTGTGTGTTGCTTGACACAAATTGAGCTGATTGGTATGAGTGAGCTCACAAGTCTGGTCTTTTCCTTGCATGGCTCTATATGACATATGTACCAAGAGTTTATACCAGATTGACTGTGGTGGATTCAGACTTTTCTTTGTAATTTAGGTGAAATTTGCTGAACTATACACACTGGATTCCCAGTGTACCTCTGCATTCCAACTACATGTACCTTGGAATTTACTTCCATTCTTCTTAAGACCACAATGTCAAATTGAACAAAACAAACTTCCTTTCTTTGTTATCTTACAGATACCACACAGGTTACAAGGACATCTGGAGAGTATTTCATCTGCATCAAAGGGTTTGCTTTGGCTGGTGGACATTTTCCTGTGACTTTGTGGAGAGTAAATGGCTTAAAATGATGTGTCTAGGTGATTTGCCAGTTTTTGGCTGGACTGAGACTGTGGCCAGTATGTCATGTGGTGGGTGCGGAGGACCCCGGAAAGCGCTAAAGGAACATTCCGACCTGAGGGGGTCTTTGGATAAGAACTCATTGCAAGGCCATGTGACACAGTACCGCATAAGTGAGTGGTGCACAAGATGCGCCTGAACAAGGGCTATCAGATGGCACACATCTGGGAGCCTCACAATATCTGGTTGCTTCGGAAATGTGTGATTTGTGATTTTTTTCCCCAAACCGCCCCAGAAATCCATACCTGGCGGGGCCGGGTACTTACACATGGATATCTCAGGAATGACAGGTGGTACATTAATAAAAGTATATGTCATCGAAAGCCCTGGCCAAGGCGCATCTCCGGCATCACAGAAATTCAACTCAAGATGCCTCCTCTTGATGCAAATAGTGGAAGTTGGGGCCTCGGGGCCGGAATGGATCCACGTCGGAATGTTGCTTTAGCGCTTTCCGGGGTCCTGGGTGCGGCACAATTTTGGCACCTCAGTACGTGCCTGGCCCAAGCGTGTCTTTTTTGGTCTGAATTGGAGTGGGCGCACCCATGAACCCAAGCATGTGATCTACAAGGTTTTCTGCTGAAATCAGTCCTCTTCCACCTTCAAATCATTTCAAATCAATCAATGTGTGTTATGGGTACCACCCCACACCATATTCTTCCAGTCATGGAAGCATTTACAGTCTGGATTGAAAGTTACCCCAACAACAAAATTTTGGACTACATTGATAGCAACACATGTTCAATGATTTTTTTGATTTTTGTTGTACTATTGCTTTTGAATTTGTTTGTAGGGTTTTCATATGAGATTAACAATGTTTTCTGGGATGTAGAAGATGTGGCTGACAAAGCATCAACAAAAACTTGGCCCATTTTTGTCCTTTTTTGCACCTCCTGCGCCCTCTCGCGCCTCCTGCGCCCTCTTGCGCCCCCAGCCAAAATGAAGGCGCGTACTTTTTCCCAAGCTTGCACCCACCACATGACCAGTATGACTAGATTGAATTGTTCCATAGAAACAATCATGAAAGTTTAGGATAAAAAATCATAAACGTTGTGGTGAGCAAGATCTCTACTTAAGCAAAAAATTTAAAAATTATGTGAAAATTCGAGTTTTTGGTCAAAGGCAATATTATTATTGAAGTTATTAGTCATCAAGGTTATCAAAGTTGATTCATTATCTTCATTTCATTATCTTTCAAATCATATATTTACATAAGCAATTGATAAGAACATTTAAGAGTAAAGAAAAATTCGAAAAGATCAATAAAAATAGTATAAGAGTGAAAATCAAATTAAGAGAATTAGTAAGAAGAGATTTGAGGAAGAAGAACATTTAGTTTGGATCTTTAGGAATGGAAACTGTTATGAAAAGAATGAAAGAAGAAGAAGAATATTAAGAAACTTGGAGAAAAATTCAAAAATATGGGTATGAAAGCTTGGAAAGTGGTTTTTAGCTTATTATTAGAAGAGATATTGGTTCAGGAAGGTTTTATTGTGAAAGAGAAGGATAACATTAGTCAGCAACAACTTTAATCATGAGGATTGATAAGGGAGGTGTGAAGTTATTCAAGAAAAGGGAAATTTCGAAGAAAGGTACTATGGTATTAATTCCTGTGTAGTGATGTCATTGATGGATTGATTGCGCCAAGAGTTTTTCAGAATGATTTTAATGCTGTGTGATTGATTGGAGTGCTGTGGAATGATCTTTTGATAGAAGGAAAATCATTATTAGACGTGAAAATAGTCAAAATTCATTAAAATTGGAGGTTTTCAGTGAATTACATATGCTAAAACTTGTCAGAATTAGGTGTGTAATAGTTCATTCGACGCAGAATCATTGGTTTCATAATGTACAACCTTTAAATCATTAGTAGCGGAGGAGTAGTGAAAAAGTTATAAGGCAACAAAGAAACTGGAATGAATTTCGAATTTGGAGGTTACATGTGACATTTACATGACAAAACTTTATTTTTGCAATCTTTACAGCTCAATAACTTATTCATCACACATCAAAAATAGGTGATATGGGGGTGATAAATGGTCAGAATCACGAGGGCTATCAAATGAGCTACAGTAATCCAAAATTGAACAACTTTACAAAAAATTCGTAATTCCAAAAATGGATTTCAGCTATGAATATTAGGAAAAAATCACCTGTATTCATCATAAGAAGATCTGTTCATCATTTATTCACATCAATTGATTAAATTCACGCCTTAAATCATTAAAAATAATAATATTCATGACATCATATGATTACATTGGAGGAAATTCTGTTGATTTTGACGGTTTTTGAGGTTTTTTGGAGGTTGTTGACCATTGTTGAAGGGTATTGGAAGGTTATATACTATTGTTAAGGATTTTACGGGCCATTGTTCCCCTTTTTACTCATCTTATACTTTTGTTAGAGTGGTTTTAATCATTATTAAATTACTTTAGCAGTACTAAGTTCACTAAATTGCCCCTTTACATCAAAGGAGAGATTTCTTTACGTGTGATAAGACTACAAGTCTTCATTGGAATAACAATCAAACTGATTGTTGCTTTTGCTAGTAATTAAAGTTGTGTTTTTGTTGTGCTCAGATTGGAATAACACTACAATAGTGTTGAGATTTCTTTATTTCTAAAAATCACGGGAATAATACTTGAATTAAGTATTGAGACATATTTCTCTGGTGCCTTATCCCAAAGAATTCAGCAAAACCCCGTGTTGATTCTTTCAAAGAGGCAGTCTTAGGCAACTTCTACTAGTTAGTTATATTGGTAGATTATCCCTCTTTAAGCTCTGTAAAGCTCTTGTTGAGCTTTAAGTTCTACAACGTTTGGGATAAAAAATCCCAAAATTTGGCTTTTTGGCTCCAGGTTTCACAACAAACATATTTGCTAAAAATTGCAAGTTGGCTCCAGCAAGACAATGGGGCTTTGGTGGTGCTATCAGCGGTCCTGGCCCCCCCACACCACACATAGTACAATAAGCTTATTTGTAATAGTATAAGCAAAAGTCTGCTGTGGTAGATCAGCCCTTTATGAGACAAAGGTTTCTTTCATTGTGCAACTATTAACATAGCACTTAAGGAACTACAAACTATTATTGGGTTCCAGAAACAAGTCCTAATAATTGATGTAACTGAGAGAAATGGATTGGACTCCAACAAATTGGGCTTGGAAGGCTTGCCAGCGGCTTTGGGTTTTGGGCCTTTTGCAAAAAGTTGAAATGTCACTTCTTCTGCAGAAGATTCTCACTAGTCTATATACACACATTCTGGTTCATGGGAAGCACCGCCTGAAATTTTGTGGTAGGGATGCCTAGTTCTAGATTTTTCTCTTCCATCTACATACATTTAAAATACTGGTGACCAAATGGGGTGTCTCTTTCTAGCTCCACATACAAATGATGGAAGCTTGAAAACCATGGATGTTTGCACGGTCCACATTTCTTACGTTATATGCAGGACTATTCCTTTCAAAAGATGCAAAAAAGCATTCAAATCTGAACAGTTTTTTTCATATGGAATTGCAAAGAAAGCTAAACAAGAAAGATGGTGATAAAGAATGTGGTATCTAGATTGTATATGAAGTCATCTCATTTTTTATATTTTGAAATAACACGGAGACCAAATGAAAAAGGTGAAATTCATCTAATTTCACAAGATTTGTTGAAGAGTCCATCAAAGCTCAGTATAAAAAACCCATGTCTCACTCATACTAATGCCCATAGCAAAGCAGAGATGGAAAAAGCCCAAATTTTTCCAGGAATTACAAGAAGATTTGACTGAGAGTTCTTAGCCATTGTCTGAGACTGGGAAGAGTTGTTAGTGGCTGACGCTTGAGCACTTCCATTGTTAGTTATACTTATTCCCTCATAATAGGATTGAGATGGCTTGAGTCCAAGACAAGTTCCAATACTCTGCACCTTAAGGCCTTGGGTTTTTAATGCTTGAGGTAGAAAGGCATTGATAGACAATGCTATTGTTTTCTGAAATAAGTCATGAGCCAAAACTGTTGAACATACCAATCACAAGATTTGGGCAAAGATGAGCTCTACACTTTCCTTCTATTTACTCAAAAAATAAAATGAAGTGTCAAAGATACTTGCCTATGAATCCGGTTTGTAAATTGGATTCCAGGGACAAGATATTACTGAACTGCTTGACTGAATCCCTGGGTTTTTCCATTCCAGCTTCTACCTTCCAGTCTATGGGAAGAGAATGATATATAAGTGATCTACTTCCGTGCAACATGAGCAGAAGGCTTTGAAGCTGAAAGGGCGGTATGCTTGCCTTCAGTGTCAAAGGCTACTCCATTTACAGAGGTCCAGAGGATAACGCTCAATCCCATAGACTTCATGATGTACCTGACACGATCATCAACATCTGTGGATAAGCAACAGAAATTGTGGAATGATTAGTATAAGACAAGTTCCAAGGTGGAACATGATGATCTTCAAGGAGGTGCCAAGATTAACTCACCTCCATAAGGAGGCCTTGCACAATTTGGGGTCACACCAATGACATCCTTTATAGCCTTCATTGACCATGCAAACTCTGCAATGATTTGTTCATTTGTCAAAGTTGTCAAAGATGTATGTGACCAGGTGTGTAAGCTGATTGAAAAGAAATATATATATTCATGAGTATCTCAACACGGGCTCACTGGGTTTTATTCTTTTGGATCTTCACTTACCAAATTTGATGTGAGGACATATATTCAGCTTGCAATACTTTGGGATAACTAATGACCCTTGATCCAACTACGAAAAATGTTGCTTTGAGTTTTTTCTGATCTAGGTATTGCAAGAGACTCGGGGTATACGGCGATGGTCCATCGTCAAAACTCGCACCCCATGTCCCTTTATTGGGACAACTCGTCACATCTGTGTCCCGGATACACCCGCTACAGGTTGACCAACAATTTCCATCGCTACCTGATTTAGCAATTGATGCGGCATTAAAGGTCGTGTTTGTACATCCGTTGAGTCCATTCACAGAAACGTTGGGTGCTTTTGACATATCAATCTTTGATACCCATTGTTTTACGATATCCGAATCAACTGGAGGAACTTGGTCTAGAGCCGGATATTTCGATGGGTCGATTGTTACACTCGGTAAGTTGGGGAAACCAGGGATTGGAGCCGCTGCACCAGCTGGGAAAGTATAATTTTGAGGAGTTTCCGGAAGCATCACTAATTGTTCGTCTGTCAGAGATGTGCTCTGCGCCACAGCAAATACAAAAGTAAACATCATGGTAAACCACAAGGGCGTTTTCCTGGATGCCCTATAGTGGTTGGTGTAATGATAAGGCATGTTGGATAGAATGAGTGAAAGAGCTATAAGGGTTGATCCTTTGGGCTACAAATTTTGATGAAGGTTGTTTTAATAACGAAGGGAAACTGGATAAAAATTAGGCTGTCAGATTTACAGAGGGATCCTAAGACTGTTTTGGAGGGAAAGGAAAACTTTGCAAGGGCTCAAACAGCACTCTGGATAGATATTTATTTGCAAGGTATAGCAAGGTAAGTCTGAACAAAGGACGGAAGCATTCAAGAACCGCCTCAAAGGCTAGGCAGCTTTGTCATAGCCACCGTTTCGTCGACCCCTCAAAGCTACTACGTATTCCCATTTGTTTTCTGGAGGAAACATGCCTTCACAAGGTGGACTTGCATTTAATGCAATGGCACTCTTCCGCGGCGCAGAAAATGACAAAAGAAACGGACGCAATTATAAGCAGCATGGGCACACTCAAAAAACTATACGCGCGCAGGTCAATTGTAACAAGAGGTGAGACGTGTGGGTTCAGGCTCAGCGGGGCGATAAGTCCCGCAAACTGCCGGAGCCGAATAGGCAATCCCCCGCCGTTGAGGCATGTGTAAAGCTAGGTGGGGTAACGTCATTACGGCTTCTTTCGACGGTCGGGCTAAAAATTGGGTAGAGCAGCTTGAATCCCAGCGTAGTAGCTTCCGACGTCAGTGTCTTTCTGGCACGTTTTGTAGTTACGAGCTGGAGGATGAGCAGGCGAGGCTGTGTAAAAATCCATCCTCGTCCTGGCCAACCGATGCCTATGCGCAACCAAATTCCTCCCCCACTCAACGTCAACAAAGGTACTATGTATGACTAAATTCAAGTTCAGCGTGGTATTTTTGAAGCTTCGCTAAGGTTAGGTTATTAGCCATTCGAATGCGATACTTTGGCTTTGACAAAACGGCGTAACGTGTGCTTTGCGAAAGAGCTTTTATCGGGGCTCCGATCCATCAAGAAATACTACCTCTGCAAACCCTCTTACGTATGAATTTAATCATATAGTGAGCCAAATGGTATCGGTTTTTGATTGGCTGGTAACTTTGAAGGTGAACGCACGAGGCCACCGACGTGCCTCGTAACCGATCACCATTCGGATGGGGAGAATGACATATCCTTGCGTCGAAGTTGCCTTGAGACCACAGCTGAGATACAACTTCCATTATTAATTATAGAGTAAGGTAGAGTAAGAGTCCAGGTTGATCACTTGGATCAGCTTTCCCTCCCCTTGCGTTCACTCTAACTTCACATCATTCTGTCTCGTCCATTTGCTACAGTTTATCTAAGAATCTACGACAGAGTCGCCATAGATTTAAATATTTTCAAAAAAATCGGCGGATTACGACCTAATTTACTACTAAGATACTTCTTCCTCTTCCGCTCATCATCTATCTGCTCACTCGAATTTGCACGTACGCAAAGTGTTGAGTCATGCCAATGGGGCCCGGAACACGTTCACATCAAATAATTGGCGTATATTTGGTCTACCAATTTCTTAATACTTTGCTTCTGGCCTACGCTCAAAATTCAGCTGGAGATGCTTCTACCTTGCTAACGCTACCGCGCGGGTCTGTGATCACAAAACGTTACGAGCCTGGGACACCATCGCCCGTTCCAGGCGCGGTTCCCCTCCCCGCTGTGACTATCAAGCCTAGCGATTATCCACCATTGGACAAGGTTCCGCCCATCAATTCTCCAGTGGTGCAAAGTTGGCTGAAACAAATTGATCTAACCAAGGCACCGTCTATCAAACCCACAGGTCTAGAAGGCTGTAACAATCAGACCTTTAACCCTGATCAAATCGCAAAGGCTGGAAAGGATGGAAATTGTTGGTGGAGTTGTGGTGGTTGCACACGAGCTGAAGATGTAACAGTTTGCCCCAACAAAGGCACCTGGGGTGCCAGTTTTGACGATGGTCCATCTGAGTTCACACCTGTCTTACTTGACTATCTCGAAAAACAAAAGTTAAAGGCCACTTTCTTTGTCGTTGGTTCCCGTGCTATCTCGAACCCTGAATTACTCCAAGCTGAATACATGGCATCACATCAGCAATGGTGAGTCGCCCTATCCCGGTCTTGCCACTTCACAGTATGATTGGGTAAAAGGGAAAAAATATCAAGTTTCTGATCCTCTGTGCTTTCCGACCTTTGGATCAAATGAAGCATACATACTTGGTCACATCCCTCTTTAACCACCCTTACGAATGAAGAGATTGTAGCCGAGATTGCTTGGTCAATGAAGGCTTTCCAAGATATAATCGGTGTCACTCCCAACTGTTTTAGACCTCCCTATGGCGGTGAGTCAATGTTTTGGGGTTCCAAAAGATTTCATTCCCTTTGGTCTGTCTCTCAGAGGAAACCTCGACTTTCTGAATGAGACTTTGGAAGTAATTTTGTTTGCTAATCTGCATGTAACTGAATTCTCAGATGTTGATGATCGGGTTAGATACATCTTAAAGTCAATGGGATTAACAAATTACATTTGGACCACTGGACCCTCAGGATCATTTGACACCGAAGGTGATTTCTTTTGAGCCGTCAAATTGAGCCAGACATTGACCTTGTGCCCGGCTTCCGAATTGAATCCTTTCACCATTAGATTGGAGAGTGGTGGCTAAACAGTCGACAGCAAAAGAAGCTTCAGCCGAGTTTCAAAAGATTCTATCAGCTCAGGCTAGCCTTGCGACTGGCTTTATTGGTGGGTGATCGATAGCATTTTTGATTGACCCCAAACTGATACTGACATGTAACGACTGCACTCCCATCTCTGGCGTTGATATTGCATCGAATTGCCTACATCTTGTACCAAACTCAATCTCACAATAATTTAACCAAAATCAACGGGAAATCTTATGTTGGGTTAGTTCTTGCTCACGATCTTTTCGCTGAGGCAGTCGCCCTTTCCATAAATAGTTTTCTTCCTGCTGCAAAGGAGTTTCCTAACTTGAAAGTGGAGCCAATTGCAACTTGTCTTGGACTTGAAAGTCGACAAAATTTCTTCGAGACCGCAAGCAAAAGCAATATCAACATTCCAAAAAGTGTTAATAATAGTATCAAAGCCAAAGTTGAAGGTCCTACTAGTACTATTAACAAAAACAAAAATGAAACTTCAGTAGGAAGAACCCCAAGTGCAAGTCCCCTTGAGCACAACTTGAAGAAGAATCAAACAGCTTCAGCAGTAACAAAGGATCCAATAGAAGTACAAAAGAATTCAGCAGACGTGAAAAAGGCTCCTGCCACCCACCAAACTTCATCTGGAACCTCAACCCATCAGAACCTCAATGGCTTGATAATAGTTATTTTCACTATATCCTTTCTTGCACTCTTAGAAGCTCATTAAGAGCTCAGGGGATTTGAATTTCTCGCATGTTGGTCTTGTGATATTGAGTGGTAGTTGGTTTGAAACCTGGCATCCAAGGTGCTTGCACCAAAGTCGTAAAACCAATCATAATCATGGATACCTCAGTCAGTGGCATCTTGGACCCAGAACCCCTTGGATTCCTGCACAAAGGCATTTCTTGATTGCTCTGGATTCTAACACAGAAATTCTGAAAGTGTGGGACCCAAATATTTCTTGTATTTTGTATTAATATGTATTGCTTGTAACAAAAGTGTCTTTGTGACTTTGGACAGGGTTCAAATTGTTGTTTAATATAGAAGTCTGCTTTGCTTGAGAGTGAAATCAAATTGATAGAGTCTTTGATATTGGGGATAGGAGATAATCAACACAATTTGAACCAATTTCCTTACGGTAACACCTAACCCAACATGAGAAAATTGTTCTCACCATTTGTGCCACAAGTTTGAAACTTTTTTTTACAAATATTGCTTTTTGGATTATATTAAAAGACGTTTAACACACACACTACATACAGATTTCACTCTGACCAATGTTAATCATTCCTCCAAAGCTCACCACCTTCTTGAATAGTAAGCGAGCTCAAAAAAGCCAACAATGCAATACAAGCAAAAACATAAAACACAGTATTACCATCCAAGAAATCGTTATGCAATACTGAGATTGCAAACATGCTAGAGGCCATGACAGGTCCAATGGCTCTCACCAAACTATTTTTCCAAAAAGCGCAAGTCAAAGTTATCAAAAAAATGGCAAGGTGTTAATCTGATCAAAATTCACTTGCCTTGCACAGCATTGAGCAATGCCATTGATGGTCCCAAGCGAATTCCTTGTGGGCGCAACAGAATTGACGAGTATCATATTACAAGCTGACCAGTTCATGACGGCGGGATCAAAAGGGAAGATGAGCAGTCGCAGTTGGCTGATCAACAAGCCAAGAGGGGACTAGATGTCTATGATCAATATGCTTACAATATACGATATTTGCTGTAGTTTTCAGAGCCAATAGAATGCCTAAACCAATCCATACTCCAATGAAACTACCATCCTTTTGAGATTGCTCGACAAGAGCAGTCAAGTGGATCAAAGGAAATAAGAGAACTGGAAAGGAAAAGAAATCTGTCAAAATTGGTGATAAAAGAGTCTCGTGACAGCTTCACTTACATATCACAGGGTACGCTGACATGCATATTTGATAGAGTTTGACGGTTCCGAATTTCTTTTGTAATGAAGAAAACAACGTTAACTGTACGATCATGGTAAAAACTCCTGAGATAGAAAGAGCAATGCCAATATCTGATAGAAAGTGGAAATGACCCATAAGGCGAGTAAGAACACACTTTGTATCAAAGAAAATGTTACATCAGAATTTAAAAAAAACTCAACTTGCAGCAGAGAAGCCGATACCCCCGGATTTGATAGGTGTAAAGGCAAACAAGACCAAAAGAGCCTCCAACGCAATTGTCTATAAGGAAACGCATATCTTGTCAGGAGTTACAAAGAAATGTGACCTTGCAGATTGAGCAATTTACCTGGAATGATAATAGCGAGTAGTTGACTAATATTGTACGTAAATTGCGGTCTCGCAGTAGCACAAAAATGCCCGGTGAAACAGGTTCAGCTGAAACCACGGCAGGACTATCGTGAAGGAGGGGCGTGGTACTTTCACAATTCGAGGCGTCCATAGCACTCGATTCAATGTGAGGTATGGACCTCTTCAAAGGTAGTGTCTGGTGTGATCACTAAGTCAGTAAGGGTGTCAGCTGAGAGATAGCTGCTCTACTGTAGCTGACCTCTTCCAGGTACACATAACCAAGCACGCACGATACCAGGGGAACGATGCTAGCCACAAAGCAGGGAAGTACCCATGGAAAATCGTGCCAGAAATGTGTCCGAGCGAACCAGCTGTTAGGAAATCTCTCGGCAGGTTGGGAAAGATAGCCGCCTGAAGGATTTTGGCATCATTAGTTTGCCAGAAGTAGAGTGTTGATCAGCATGGGAAGTACCTATAAGCGGGCCGATCGTAGAGCCCATGGCGAAGCTCAGAGGCAGGAAAGAAAATCCCAGGGCTTGATTCTCGGGCGTTGTCATTTCGGCCATCATCTGTTGAGATACCAGTGGCAACTTTGGTTGAATACCGCCCTCAAGGAAAATCGAAAATGTTTGACTTACAGATTTGATGACACTAGACGTATCTTAAATTCAAAGTGTCAGAGGAGCCAATTCCGAGCGCTCAGCTAAGAAATAACATACGCAGAATTTCCTGGGGATATATAAGCAGACGGTCAGCCAACGTAGGATGACTCGCGAGAATGTTGTAAAGGCAGTGGTGACATACCGTTGAGGATACCACCAAGGCCTCTGGCTAACAGCATCTGCGCGAAGCTATGACTGAAACCGAAAATGATGGTAGACATGATAGCGCCGGACAAACCGCACAAGATGACAGGCTTGCGTCCGATCCGGTCACTAAGCTTTCCCCATACCATGATGGTCAAAAGTTGTGAAAAAGCAAAGACCGATTCGACTGCTCCAGAATAGAAACCTATTTCCTTTTCAGTGAGTGATTTATTGAAATCTGCCACCATCTTCGGATCAGGATTGCACCAGACGGGCATCAACTTTGGCAAAGTCGCGTTTCATGCTGGACCCAGGTCAAAATCAACGCACAAATGCCACCATTGGAAAAACTACAGTGAATGCTATGGGCTCGCAAAGTCTCATGAGACAGATGATTGAGAGCTGCAGCTTGGGCAATGAAGACCTTGATGGTCTGCTTCCATTGAATCGGTTACTTGAGTATCTGGAGTCCCGAGGTGTTTCGCTAGTTGGCGAGTCTCGTGGAATTGAATCATAGTTTGCATGTACCTGTCCAGAGGACGGCAGACAAGGCAATCTGTCGTGTGAAGATGGTGGGGATCCTACCATACTGGTGGATTAATGATAGAGAGGATGTGGTTTATAGGAATCAAGAATTAACCAGACAACCTCTTGCTCGATTTGAAGAGTGTTTTCGCGTGTCCGTCGGGACAGGATCCGTCCTGCTTCTGGATAAAGCTGAGGCAAATGCAGAACCCGTGTCATCGGAGCGCCCGAAGCTTTCATATTTATCACATTTCATTCACACACATCACAAGGTGATCTTCTTGACCGTCGCCAACGAGCCTCAACGAGCACAACTTCGGCTGAAACTATGTAATCGTAAACTTCCTTCTTTGCTTGTCTCCATGACCTCAACCTACCTCAACTACAATTTTGACCAATCTTTCCAAGGAGTAAACTAAAACTAATCTACAATTGTATATGGTCTGATCAAACACATCCTACGAAGAGATCCATGAAAAGAAATCATCAAACTCGTTTCACCTAAGTTCTATGTATCGAAAAGTCTTTGAACAGTTTGATAGATTTTCAAGTTTCATGTTTCATAAAACATGGAAAATAAAAGAAAACTTTTGATTTGATTTGAAACACTAGAATTGATGAACCAGCCATGAAGGTATTTTTGACCGACTATGAAACTACTTTCATGCCAAGTTGATCACTCTTTTGATTTCGATTCAAGCCTAGAATCAAATCCCTCTTCCCCAAGCTCTAACAGCTTCATTTTCAAACCATTCATTATTTTTCACTCTTTAGTTTGGACTATTAAACATTCATTATAAATCTTGATTTTTCTTATACAAAAAAAAAGAAAGATGAGAAGAGCTTTACATTCATTGACTTTACGGACAAAGGCATCTACATTCATTCTTTTACATTTTCTTGTTCAAAGCACAGTCTCATCGTGAGTGTGTTGATTTCAAAAACCAGATGATATTCCTATATATGAGTACTTGATGCTTGAACTAACCCATTCTTTTTTCATAAACAAATTGATTTTGTTTAGACCATTTGATAAATATACCACTGATTTCGAATTTAATTACACAAGTCTAGTAATCTTTGGTGACTCTTACTCAGGTACACGCAATTCATCAACTTCATTTGAACACCTCTTTCGATTTCAAAATTTCAATTTCAAGCAGAAAGAAAACTTTTAAGTGGTATTGATTTAGGAAATTTGTTTTGAATTAGATGATGGCCATCCTCGTTCACCTGAACTCCAAACTTCATTCTCTGGTAAATCATCTTATTCTTCGATTTATCTGAAAATAAACTAAACAAAAGTTGATACTATTTTAATTATCTGATATAGTTCCACCGGCTATAGGAGGTAGATATTCTAATGGACGTAAGTATACCTCTTATCTCATAAAAATTTACAAAATAATGGATCAGAAGATTGATTTTTGGAATGGTTTTGGTTAATAGCTGTTTGGAATGAATTTCTTTCACTTAAACTTTCAACTTCAACCCAAAAAGTCACTCGGTTAAATTACGCATAGTAAGTCATCCGCCAAACCCCCACAAACCAACCCAAACCAATCCAGACTATCAAACCAACCATGATTTCTTTGTTTTGATATTAGTAACGGAGCGCATATCAACAACCAATTAACCTCAAATACAGTCCCAGACACGAAGACCCAAATCAGCAACTACATATCCGACTTACACCTATACAATTCATTAAACCCACCCTCAAACTCAGACTCGCGGAATGTAGAAAAAGTTTTACATATGATATGGATTGGAATCAATCCATTGATATCACTTTGGAGACAATCTACTTTAACCACTCAGGATGATCATCAGATCATTAACGTTTTTCATAATGTTTCGTTCTTGATGGAGTTGCAAATTGATCAGTTGTCTGATCAGATCGAAAGTCTTATTCAAGATTCTAATGTGAATCAGTAAGCTTACTATTTTCTTTTCTGAAGAGAATAATCTTGAATAAAAAACATGATGATGTCTTGAGCCGATGAATTAGTTTAAGTGGAATTTAATCTGATGAATTTTGTTGGTACAGATTATCACCTCAATTCGTGATCCTAACACCACCTCTATTACATATTACTCAACTAATCAAAACCGAATCAAATCAAAGATCAAAACTAAACCCCGAGTTATACAATTCATACTTATCTCTCATGGAAATGATGGAAACTAAATTCTCAAAGGTATTTCCCCCTTTTTTCATCTCCAACCAAAAAGAAAAAAATGATCTTGAATAGTAACTTTTTGGTTTTTTGGGTTTTTTTTTTTGGTTTTTTGGTTTTCTTAGGATTTGATTAATAAGATTAATTTAATTTCGATTCAAAATGATTTATCAATTAATCATTTAAGTGTATTTGATACCATCAAGTTTTGGAAAGATGTAGAAAAGAAACCAAAAGAAGTAAGTACCAAATCATCTCTATCCCCCCAAAAATCCTCAAAAAAGTACTTCTTAATCACTAAATGGGATTGGTTTATTTGTTGGTTTTTTTGGGTTTAGTATGGGATCACTACGCCTGGTTCTTGTATTACTGATCTTCATTTGATTCCTTGTAAGAACCCTAATGGATTTCAATATTGGGTTAGTTCTCTTTCTCCCTCTTTCTTTCTTTCTCATCCTTTCTCTCTTTCTCTCTCTTTCTATCTTTTCTCTATCTTTTCTCTTTGATGAACTCTTTGATTTATTGATTTCTTTTGATGATTTTTTTTAGGATTCATTACATCCAACAAGTAATTTTCATTCAGAAGTTTCATCAATGATTTACGAATTTCTTAAACAAATTCAATCTACAGATTAAACTTTGGTTGATCTTCTATATATGCTCTTTTTGGACTCGTGATTGATTTTTTGTTGTATAGACGTTCCTTTTTGTTTTCAATCTTTTTAGAATGCATTTTTTTTGGTTCAAACTAGGACTTCATAAACCTTGTTTTTTTTTTGGTTTTCATGAAACCTTTTTTTGAACAAAGAGATTCTGAGAAATTCATTTGAAGAGGTTTAAAGTAATTACATGGTAAGTTTTAATGACTTCAAATCTGTTCTTCTTTACAAAAAATGGAATATCTCAGTGACGACAGCAATGTGGGTTTTCATCACTTGTCAATTTGGAATGATACCTACTCCTACAAAATTCAAAACGTCTTGTGTAACCAAAAAATCTTTCACATGTACTGAGAAAATAGTCACGATTACCTGCAAAGGCGTGACGGGGATTGAAAACCTACCATAATGAAGGTATGGGTGCCGCGCAAAATAATGAGCTTTGGTGCGCGAACGGTTGAGGTGCTCAAGCGCACCACACGGATCAAGAAATGATTAAAGACTTGAGGAAAATTTCTTTGAAGGGGGATGAAGTTGAGCTGGAAATGAGCCATGAATTTTTTGAACTCGATTCCATTTCCAAATCACGACTGTTGACCTAAGACATGAAACCCAAATAAACCAGGAATCGGATGATGACTACTTATTCAGTCTACACAGCCATATATACAAAATCAATCGGATTCGGATATGTACAGGGAGATTCTGGGTAAGTAGTAAGCCATCTTATGGCTTGAGTTGAGAAAATGGGATTCTGGAGAAGGAAGAACCAAGTACTAAGTCGGGAAACAAGAGACCCTGTTGTTGGATTTCTAAGAGTCTTTATAAGAGCTTCTTCTGAGCTTCAACTGATTTAGTAAGGATCACTTTGGTTACCGATGAATTCAGTGTAAATAATTACCCACTCAATTCATACAATAAGTTTAAGACCCGTTGCAACGAATTTGAGGATTGATTGGGACTGGGATTGGGATTGAGATGGATTTGAATTTGATCTGATGATGGGAATCAGAAGATTGAAATGAGAATGTAGTTTAAATTCAAATTACTAATACTAATACGCCAACTCAATTAAGCCAACTTATCAATGCACTAAATACCATTTCATCAAATCATCAGTAATCATATATATCACTCATTCTTTCCTATTTCCTATCATTTACTATATTTACTATATTTCCTATTCAACTTACAATCCATTCTAATCTAATCTAAATCTAATCATGGTCTTAATCTCATTTAAATCCATCTCACCAATCACTTCACCTATCTTACCAACTTATCATCATCATCATCATTCATTTCATCATTCAATTCATCATTTACTTTTGATTTATTATAAATTAATCTTACTCTTTCTTTTCTTTTTAATCTTTTATCTTTCTTATTTTACTAATCTAATCAATCATCATTTCAATCAATCTTATCAATTTCATTCGACCAAGTCTAGTACAAAGTTTTATGAGTTTGATTTCTCAAACCAATCTACTACTACTACATTTAATATTCCAGGTTGGATTAAATTAAATGCATTACCGATCACTTCGTTATTAGAAAAACCATCTGGCTTATCAATTCAACCCATCAATCCGATTTCAGAATGTGAATCAAATTGGATTTCAGCTGGAATCCCATGTCTCTCTCTTCAAAACCAATCTACTCCCTTAGACATACTATGGACATGGGTCAATGGAACATCTACCCAAAAAAAACAAACATATTCTACAAAACAATTACCTGATTATTTATTTAGACAACATGATGAATTAAGATATTCGATCAGATCAGTACTTACTTCGATCCCTTCTACACTTATTAATCAATTACATTTGTTTACGGAAGATATTTGTGGGTCGAATTTACCATTTGATCGGTTTGGTTCGATTCCTACTTGGTTAAATACCACTTTTATTGATCGTCAAATCGCTTTACATCATCATTCTCAAGCTTTTCATGTTTCGGTTAATTATTTAAAGGCTTGGAAACCTTTTCAAAACTATTCTTCAAATGATCATTCAATCCTTCAATCAAATTCAATCCAATGGAGAAAATCTGTCGTTCCTTCTCATAATAGGTTTTTCAATCTTTCATTATCTTTATAAAATCATTCTTGAAATCTTATGGTTTGTTTCTTTTTTTTTTCTTACAGTTTGGCAATCGAATCACAAATCCCTCATTTAGAAAACTTGGGAAAAACTTTATTGTATATGAATGATGATACGTTCTTACTAAGAGTTTCGTATATTCCTTTTCTTTGATTCTTCTAAATCTAGCAATTAATAACGTTTAAAATCCTAAATCATACTTCAACATTTTTCGGTCTCTATACAGCCATTTTCATCAGGAGACTTAATGACAAGTTCCTATGGACCGGTCTTTAGAATCCAATGGGATTTAAACGTTCAAGATCGTCCTCCAACTTCAAGACCTCTTTCGATTGGTTCAAATGGAGAATGGCCTTCATTAGGATATTGTTTTGAGTCCATTTTCACTTTCTTCAAACTTTTTTTTACCTATACCTTTCAATTATCTTCTGACAATTCTGTCTTTTTTGAACGGTACGGGGTGGGGTGAAATTAGCTAATTGGTTATTAAGTAATCGGTTTGGATGTCGAGATCGTAGGTATTTACATCATGTGGCTAAAGTTTTACCGGTGGATAGTATGAAGGAATTATCAGCGATATGGGCAGATGAACTTTCAGAGGTAAGTTTTTAAGGAAAGATTTGTTTGAAAATTCTTGAAAACATACGTTGATAATTTTTTGGGTTGGGGGAGAAACTTTAGTCTGCTTCTTCGGCTTTTAGATCACAGTTACCTGAGGTTAATTTACCTTTTTTGACGACTTGGTATCATATTGAAAAACATCGAGAATCAATGTTGAGTGACGAATTTCTTACATTTCAATAAATACCTTGAAACTTTTGGAATTAACATTTGAATGATTTATTACATCAGTCTATATTCTTATATTATGTTAAAATCAGATTTAAATTCAGATGGAAAGATTTCATCAAACGAATTCCAATTAATGTTAAAAGATTTATCAATCAAACCAAATCAAAGAATCCTACAAGTCCAAACCCCATCACGTTTAACAAACCATCCAAACATGATACGAAAGGTTTTAAAAGATTCCGATTATCCATTACAAACCCAATACGCATGGGTTTCATCAGACGGATATCCACTTCAATCTAACTCAAATCATCAATTACCCAATTATTCATCAACCAATCCACCTGATCAAACGTTTTGTGAAATCGATGTGGAAGTTTGTTTTGGAAACCTGAATGATCTTGTGAACCGAAATGGTGAACTTAAGAGTGAAGACTTGTTTAAAAGAATTGGATTTGAACAAGTTCGATGTGGGGATTGTTTGGTTACTAAGATTGTAGGTGAAAGTGGTTTGGCTAATTCATTAGAATTCGCTTTACCTTCTTCTACTTCTCCTTCAACAACTTGGTTTTTTGGGTTTTTCAAGAGGGTTGGGTTTGGAGGAATGGGAAAGAAGAGGAAGGAAGGGGTGGTTGGGGTTGAGAAAAGTTGGGAGAATTTGAAGGTTTGGGGGAAGAACGTGAGGGGAGATGAGAAGAGACAAATTGGGATTTCACTTTTGAAAAAGTATCAATATGTGATTGGTAAGTTTGTTCAAATATCTACTCTCAAACGCACCTTCTCATTCACTTGAATTGTTTTTATTTTCAGGTAATACACCTAATACATTTAGAGCTTTAACATCTGAAATTGGTGCCAAGAAGTTTTTAGAACCTTTGATTGTGAATCAAGATTCAGTAGCGATGGTAACAGTGAATGATTTGATTGTTGAAAGTGGAGCGATTAGAGTCTTTAAGAATTGGTTAAATCAACTATGGTCTGAGAAGTTGGATTTTGAGATTTAAGAAAGGAGAGAGTTTAAGAAAAATGGAAATATTAAAATCATTTTGATTTTAATGAAAAAGGACACACACTTGTTAGATTTGTATACTTGTTTTTTTTTCGTTCTTTCTTTTGAGCATTTATCTTTTTGTTTTTTGGGATTTGGGTGTATTATATTTGTAGATTTTTCTTAAGGTTTTTACAAGTTGGTTTATTTAATAATGCAATGCTGGTTTTAATTATTTTCATGGATTCGTTCTTTTTTTGGAATAGAGAAATGTGTGGTTGGGGTCGAAAGACAATGAGAGGTTATCTCTGGATTGGTAGGGAAGAAAATCAAAGGGTTTGGTTATAAGTATTTATAGTTTGGGAAAGAGATTGGAATTCAAGAAGATCGATTGAGAGTTATGGTGATCTTTGGTTGATGTGATTGTGATCATGAGACCAATACCATATCCATAGTTGTATATGTGTTGCATAGAAGTTTTGGTTGATGCAAGTGATGGAATGTATGAGAGATGTTTGTTTATGAATTCTTATTATTGGATGATGGGCTTTTTTCTGATGAAGTTGCCCTGCTTTATGAGATGGATGAGTTGTTCATAATTTGAGTTGACGAAGGCTGTGTGGTTTTGGTGTGGTTACATTTGGTTTTGAATGATTAGATTTAAAGTTTCGTATATCAGCTGATGAGTTTCAGTTTGAGTGGTCAAAGGGTGTATGCTTATTGAATTCTTATGTAAAGATTCCCATTCTTTCTATGTATTTTTTTATTTTTTGATGTTTTTCTCTGTACATACAATCCATTCGAGACTTCTAATCTTTAATCTGATTTAAGATCCTTCAACACTACCATCAAACCATCAATCAAAACTATTTAGATTATTATTTTCATCATGGATCCAAGATCGATCAATTTCAATGTCTTACGTCGACATGATTCCAAAATCACATCTATCATCGATTCCACCTCATACGTAGTGATTTATAGATACTTTCATGGAGCATGGTCTAAAACAGGTTTAGAAGGTACTATGTTTATCTTTGAACGTGATGGTGAAGTTCATCAACCTAGATATGGTGTCTTTGTACTCAATCGTCAAGGTTTGGATAATATGTCGCAAGGTCTTTTGCCCGGTTGGGAAGTTGATTTGGATGAAGGTTTGATTATTTGGAGGAATGAAGGCGCTACGGGTGATGCTGATGATGGTATGGATCATCGGGCTATTTCTCTTGATTGATTCTTTTTGTTTTACTCAATTCGGTTGCGGTTTCTTTTTCTAGATATCATTCATGGACTTTGGATTTATGAAGAACAAGATCGTAGTAGGATTGCTGGTGTTATGCAAAGGTATTTGGGTTCTTTACCTTTCTGATGGAATCGAATCGAATCAAATGACTTATCCGATTGCTTTTCATTCGTTCTGGATTAGTTTGATTGATCTTTCGACACCCCAATCTGAACCTGAACCTACTACATCATCACCCCAAGTTTCCTTATCACATCCAGTACCACGTGTCCCCATCATACCTGCAGGACAATCTATTTCCTTAGATCAACTTTTCGGAGTCGGATCAGTTTGTTCTGAACCACCACCACCGACTTCAGATTTACCACATCCGGCTAGTTCTGTGGCTGATTCATCTGAACCTCAAAACGCTTTACCACCTCAACATGTCATGAGTCCAGATCCATCGGATTTGCCTAAAGGAATGCAACTCTTGGATTCCTTGTTTCAGAAAGCTAGTTTGAAAACTCAAACTTCGAATCCATCGATCTCTAGTGCTGATTCGATTGCTCAACAATCTATGGGGATTCATCAAGTTTTACAAACCCAACCGATGTCGCCTCATCCGATTCAAAACCATCCTAGCTCTGGTTCTTCGACTCTTCATCATCATCATCTTCATCATCATCATCGTAGAAACTCATCTGATGAGAATTATAAACCTCAAGCTTATAATGAAGTGAATCGGAATCCGAACCATAAAGCTCATCATCATCAACGAGCTCCTAATTCGAAATCAGGTTCTAGACATAGTAGTGGTGGTTCATCATCACATCCTCGAAGTGAAAAGATGGTAGGACCCAGTTCGAATGGTCAAACTGGTCCATCTCATTATCCTGTACAATCTAATCCTCAATACCAATCTACTCAAGCTGGCTTGGTTTCGGCTTCTCAAACCTCTAATAATGAATCAGCTCATGCAGAAGCACGTCATAATATCCTAAGCCTTTTGGGACATCCGATCGCTACCTCGGCTCCTCATCATCATAATCTACCGGGTCAGATCTCGAACTCAGGAACATGGACTGGAGCGAATGGTGGATCACCTGATAGTATTAGGAGTGGAGGAGGTAATCGAGACGTTTATCAACCATCAAGTTATGGAAGGAATCATCAAGCTAAATATACTTCACATCATCATCATCATCATCCACATCCACAAGAAGGAAACCCGAACCATCGATCACAACAAAACTCACAACATTCATCACCACAACAAACTCATTCACCTCATTCGAATGCTTATTCGAACGCTTCACAACTTGTTCAAACATCATCCCAAGTTCCTAGCTTACAACCTGAACTTGGTTCACCACATCATAGTAGTGCTCATGCTCATGCTCATCATCATCATTTGTCTAGAAACGGAACTCAGTTTCATCAACCACCGCCACAACAAGCAGGACCAACACAAGTGAAAGTTAGAGGAACTCCTCCTAAGCCTCCTTTACCGAATGTACCTGTCCAAAACCGTCAATCACAAGTTTCTGCACCTAACCATGTCTGGAATGAAAATTATCCTAAACGTGCTATGAGTCCGTTAAACCCAGCATCCCAAACCCAATCGCAAACACAAAGATCATCACAACAAGTAGGACCACAGTGGAATGGACAGAGTAATAGAACATCTAATGTTGGAGACTTTCCTGCACCGGTTGTGAATGATTCTTCTAGACCTAGTAGGAGCCATGGTTTACATCCTCAAAGTCTTGCTCATAGTCAGGGGAAAGAAGGAACTGTGTTTGTTAATAAGGTCGTGGCTGAGGTCTTGGATGAGGGATTGGCTGGTAGGGAGTATTTGGAGGTGAATGGAAAGAATAAGAATGGACGTCGGAAGAATGGAAAGCATCAGCATGGACAGAATGGGGATCGGGACGGGGATCGGGACGGGGATGGACAGGATGGGGATGGACAGGATGGGGAAGGGGAAGAAGGGGATGAGGATGAGGAGAATAGGGAAGATGAGGCTTTGGATAAGAAAGAGTTTGTGGGTGGGGTTTTGGAGTTGATTAAGGTTTGTGGATCTTTTTCTTTTTCTTTTCTTTCCTACTTTGGAGTTTGGAGTTTAGAAGATTGATGGGGTTTTTTTGGGGGGGTGTTAGACGAATGGAGCGTTTGTAGATATGCTTTATGCTAGGTATTTGGCTAGGTATGCTGAACGGTATTTGTGAATCAAGCAAGGATTTTTCTTTGGAAGGTTAAGGGTTAGGAGTTTGGATTTAAAGGGCTAAGAGTTTGGATTTGAAGGGGTTTTGGGAATATGTTCTGGAGGGTTTTGGAAAATGTGTTTTGGAGGGTTTGGAATGGGTTTTTTTTGGTTTTTTTGGGATTTGTTTGGTTTGGGAATGAATTAATTTTTTTGGTTTGGTGATTTGGTAAAAAAATTAGTTTGGTAAACTTTGAGAAAAAAAAACATTTGATGAATTTGATAAAATTTTGGTTTCTATGATGTTTTTTTTTTTTGAAAAGAAAAGGAAAGGTGAAAAAGGTTTTGAAACTTTTTTTGGTACCTAGAGGGTTTTTTGGTTTATTAGTTTGATTATTTTGGTTTTGATGTTCTTTATTTTGAAGAAAAGTCTTATGATATCCTTTTTTTTGTAATGTTTTTTTAAAATTGATGTTTGGGTTGGTAGGATTTGGGTTGGGAATGGATGGGTTTTTTGGTTAGGGTAGTTTGATGAAAATTAAAGTTTGGTAATTTATGAGGAAAATTAAAGGTTGGTTATCTTTGAGGAAAGATGTTTGGTGAATTTGATAAGATTTGGTTTCTATGATGTGGTTTTTTTGAAAAGAAAACAAAAGCAAAGAAAGGTAGAAGTTTTATGATAAAGTGTTTGTTCTCTTTTTGGTACCAAGGGTTTTTTTGGTTTATTAGTTTGATTTTTTTTTGATTTTGATGTTCTTTATTTGAAGAAAAGTCTTATGATATCCTTTTTTTTGTAATGTTTTTTTAAAATTGATGTTTGGGTTGGTAGGATTTGGGTTGGGAATGGATGGGTTTTTTGGTTAGGGTAGTTTGATGAAAATTAAAGTTTGGTAATTTATGAGGAAACTTAAAGGTTGGTTATCTTTGAGAAAACATGTTTGATGAATTTGATAAGTTTTGGTTTATAAGATGTGGTTTTTGAAAAGAAAAGAAAAGAAAAGAAAAGAAAAGGTAGAGCTTTTGTAATGAAGTGTTTGTTTTCTTTTTGGTACAAAGGGTTTTTGTGGTTTATTACTTTGATTTCTTTTTGATTTTGATGTTCTTTATTTAAAAAAAGTCTTATGATATCCATTTTTTATAATGTTTTTTGTAAAAATCAAGGTTTGGTTTTGTAGGATTTGGTTTGGGAATGGATGTTTTTTTTTGGTTTGGGGTAGTTTGATGAAAATTAAAGTTTGGTAATTTTTGAGAAAAAAACATTTGGTCATTTTGAATTTTGGTTTATAGGATGTGGTTTTTGAAAAGAAAAGAAAAGGAAAAGAAAGGTAAAACTTTTATTATAAAGTGGTTGTTTTCTTTTTGGTACAAAGGGTTTTTGTGGTTTATTGGTTTGATCAATTTTTGATTTTGATGTTCTTTATTTGAAGAAAAGTCTTATGATATCCATTTTTTTATAATGTTCTTTCTAAAAATCAAGGTTTGGTTTGGTAGGATTTGTTCTACTGTTTTGGGTTTGAGATATGGGGAGGTTTTTGGAATGGTTGGTGAAGAGAAATTTGAAGGGTTTATTAGTTGGAATTGCAAGATTTTTTGAGAGGCAGTTATGAAGTTTTTGGGAGTTTAATGAGGTACTGTGGTAGCTTTTGATTTGTTGAATGGTCTGTGGATGGTAGTGTAAGATATCATAGTTGGAAACATTGGCTTGGCTGTTAAGCTATGACTAGCTTGATCTATGGGTTTATGATACTTCAGTTATGATATACAGGAAAACTCTTACTATGATAATCTAGTCTCTGTAGTGTGGCATAGAGTACATACTAGAAGTGTTTAAGGAAGAGTCATTGGCAAGCTACACTATCAGTATCCTAGTCTACAAGGATATTACAACTTGAGTTACACACAGCTATAATATTGATATATGATCTAGTAGTATGGTGGATATTCATAGTTATCTCAGTGTTGATGGTGATGGGTATGAAGAAGTTTATTAAGAAAGTTACATTTTTGTGAACTTTGGTGTTTTGGGTTTGAGTTTGAATCCAAGACAGGTTTAGAAACTTGAGATCATTGAAAAACTAAGGTATGTCACTCAGAACATTCAGGGCACATTCACTTGTGGATTCTGGTGAGAAATCACATTCTGCAAAATTTAAAGTGTCTATTTGGTGGTATGTGTTTCATTTTTGCATTAAAAAAATTACAGAACATGATTTCTAGTCAGAAATTCCTTAAGTGAACACACCCTTAGTGTGTGTGTTTGTGTGTGTTTTCCAACTTTTTTTTAGTGTTTGTTTGCATAAGAAGTGAAGATAATGAAGGAGGCAAAACCTTTTGATGAAGTTTCTTATGAAGGAATTGGAATAAGAGAAAATAGTGTTGGTTGTGCTAGTCTCAGTGAAACTCACCAAAAGAAAAGAGAAGTGGATGGTCAAAAGAGGGTTTGGCTGATGAAGTTGAACTTCATTTGTGAATGAAATGCTTTTGATTGATTCATTGCTAGTTGCCTTTGTTTTGACACCACAGGAATCATTAAGTATGAAACCCAATTGAGCAAAGTTGCGGTGACCGGGTCCGCAACTTTCTTCAATTGTGGATCTCATTTGCCATACATTTGCCATAGGTTTGCTAGCTTGCCTCAAGCTGCCCTCGAGTCGTCAGAACCACAGTACACCTACATATGTAAAGTAAAAACTGTTTACATATGTAATAGAGCTCATACGGTATGGATTAACCTCAAGAGTCCTTTGTTGGTCTTCCTTGCCAATAACACCACATATCAGTATGCCCAAAAAAGCACGGACTACTTGGAAGGAAAAACATGCATGAAGGAAGCATAGAGCAAGGTACCACTTCATTACCAATGTATGTTGTACTGTAGTTACATATACTGGTTCTGACAACTCAAAGGTAGCTCGAGGCAAGCTAGCAAACATATGGCAAATGTATGGCAAACGAGATCCGTGATTGAAGAAAGTTGTGGACCCGCTCACCACAACTTTGCTCAATTGGGGTTCACACTTAAAAATTCCCGTGGAGTGTATTTCAGTACAGTGTACTACTACAGTTGATTCTCAATGTAAGCATAGAGAGTTTGGTGCAGGAAGTTTCATTCTAGTAAGAAGGTGAGATATAGGCAAAGATCACCATATAAGCATATATCCCGTGGTTTTATGCTTACATGCTGAGTTTTTTAGCATAAGGTTGTATTCTCATATTTAACAAAGACATAGGGCAAGTAGGGTAGAGTAGAAGAGAATGATAAAGTGCTAAGCTTCACATATGAGAAGGAACAGATCAAAGCTTAAGAATCAAGTAATATGTAGAAAAATTGTAGAACACATTGAAAGAAAATATGGAGGCTTGGTTGGGTAAGGGTGACTGTTAGAGATTTTTTTTGAAATTGATGTATGCATGTAAGCATATTCATCCTTGATATGGTAGCAGATGGTTATATGTACACTTTTTCACCTACTTAATAAGCATAAAAAGTGTTTTTGGTAGGTTCATGTATGACCGACTCATTATGCATCAAGGATTTTGTTTTTGTAGTTGCTCTGTTCTGCTTTCCCAAAAAGTCAGTACAAAATTTTCAATACCTCCAGCATGATATGCATGTATACTAGATGCACACATTAAGGATTGACTGTATAGATTAGGTGATGACTATGTTGTGTGAATGTGTGTAAATTTGCTTCTCAGCAACCCAATTTTTTTACAAATTGGGAAAAAAATTACAGCCTGGTAATGTAAAATACTTTCCCCAATTTTTTAGGAAAGGCCGCAAAAATCTTGAACTGAGTTATTGAATCCAAAAAAAGATTTGGTTTGGTTTGTTCAAATTTTAAGACAGCTTCTTTTGAATGATTCAATTTTCTGTGTAACAAAGAGACATTGATTTTCACTAAAACATTTGGTGAAATTTTCAATTGTTTATACTACTTTTCTATTTTCAAGTTCAACTTATTTCAAATGTGGGACAATAAAAAAATCAAAGCAAGCAGAAGTTTAATATAGGTGGTACCTTACTACTTTAATACATGGTTCTTAACAATCAATGAATTTTATCATTTTCTCTTTTCACAAGAATATCTTTGATTGTCTATGTAAGATTTTTCCAGAATGTCAGATTACAGGGCTTCAAAAATTCATGGGATCAAAACATTTTCAGTAGATTCTTGACTTACTCCAGAGTATGCTATGATTGAGTTATTTCAATTTATGTGGGCTTACAAGATATGATGATTTATGTGGGCTTACAAGATATCATGACTTATGTGACTCAATTCCAGATATTTCTGACTTGTTGTTGAATGCATCATATAATCAGAAGATTTCCCTCTGAAAGACAATGATTATTGTTTTATAGAGGATGCCTAGATACTCATGCTGTCTGAAAATCTTCTTGCATGGGTAGCTTTGCTCATGCAGCACAGTCTACACAGAATGCTATTCTGGTCAGAGTAAGAGTGGGGGAGCAAAACTTTAAAGCATGGCGAGATTTGAAACTTGTGACAACCCGTATCTTAGTTTTGTAGTCTTGGATAATTTCTCTTTCGGAAGTGATGCATAAGGCATCTGCGAGGGCACGGCAAACGCGTGGTAAGGTGCTTCATTGAGCACGCATGAGGGCATTTTTTATCAAGTGTTTTTGTCATCCGCTCGCATGGTGAGAGGCTCAGAAGTCAGATGCAGTCAATAGTGTGCGGAGTGAAAAATATCGCCCGTAACGCTCTGCTATACCTATCATGTACGGGAACGAGGAAAACATTGCAAGATGAATTGCTCAAAAAGCTGATTTTACAAAGGTCACGCATCTCCCCTTTGTAATTCAACTAATCTTGGTGCATAGACTACGTATCTCGGGGCAGGATTCCAATCGGAGCAAATCAAAATTCTGCCCTAGCCAGGACCGGAAAGAAAAGAAAACGAGAAGAAAAAATAAGACATGGCTCATGTGTAAACAGTGAACACTGAGGGGGATCATCATATCAATAAAATCATAAGATGAAAATGAAGAAGTAGAGGCATCGGCGTCCTTATGTTGATGTCCTTTGATCAGTTCCTTGTGGGAGGGCTTCAATTCCACGCAGACTGACAACCTACGAGCCAAGAAACATTTGGGTCAGACGACAAAGTGAAGGGAATGATCCTGAAATAGAAAGTAGAACACTTACAAGCGATTTAGGAATACATAGGATCAGACTGACGATAGGCTCACTTCTTGTGAACGGAGCAGTTAGGGCATTGGCAGGCTAAAGTAAAATTGAACAAATGAATCAGTCAAGGACACAAGGAAAATCCGAAATCCAGTTGCGCTCATGATGGGACAAAAGAGAAGATGACCAACAAGCACCGCATCCACAGGCACCAGCGCAAGGATTCATATTTAATTGGATGATGTAGTAAGGGGTTTGTGCAAAGGTTATTTAAAAAGCTGATTTGATTGATTTATTGGCGGGTGAGGAAGAAAAGGAGTGGGGGTAAGAGGAAGCAAGTCCATTTATATAGGCACAGCGGTCACTAGTTTGCAGCGACACCCGCAGCCGAGCTGCAAGACCGGAGGGAGTTACCGGATGCCCGATCAGGTCGGAGGGGAACGTTTAACACTCGTCACAAGTTTGTAGGCGCCACCCTATTTGATTCGTTTCCCTCACAAGTGCCCCTGAGTAAACTTCTGATTTTAGACTTTGATCAATTTAAACCGAGAGTTTTATTTGCACATCTCCACAAAGCAAGCACAGCCTTGCTGCCTTATTACGTAAACAATGATGCACTCAAGTGGCAAACTCACGCCCTTGAGATGCAAGATAAGAAATACTCTCACCAGATAACCCCTTTTATATGATGGTGTTGTACAAAGGGCATTTATTGGTTCAATGTCGTAAGATCATCATTCAATCAACATAACCACGAATCTTTTAGTAACCTGCGTGATCACATACATACATCTCACGCATCAGATCACCTCTTGCAATTATTGTATCATCAGTTTACTCATGATGAATGATTTCATTTTCAATGTTCAGTTCAATCGTCAATCTCACGGTTCACGATGGACCGATGAGTTACGAGAACATGCGGGGCAAGAATTCCATGTTGATCTGTATGGTTTCATGATTGATATCTAAAGGGGCCATATCTAAAGGGAGCTTGTTGGTGAGTCTTACGAGCTGATGCTGATGATTGGCTTTCCAATTCGGCTATGTACCCGTACTTAGGGGTGATAAGGTATGACCAAGCTTGATCATCACACATCCTTGAGCTCGGCCACATGGCATATACAACTCAAAGAAACTTTGCATTGAAAGCAAAGCTTCTTGAACTTTGAAGAAATTCTGGAAGAGGAGCTTCGCGACAGATAGAGACACAATGGTACAATCTACATATGCGGATGTATACTTCGATCACCATCATCTGCTCTCATCAAGCACGTCATTGTATGAGTTTCAGAACAAATATGGCTTCATCTCCTATGATGATCACAGATATGGCCAAAGGGAGGTACATTGTGATTGGTTCTCTGGTGGCAGCTCCTTCAATGATGAGGAACGGCGTACCAATTAGCCGGGATTGCTAGCGCTACACTAGGGATGCCTCAGGAAAGCTTTTAGGAAGGCAGATTGCCATATACTTGAACACTCCTCCTTATTTAGCGCACTGCAATGTCACGCGAGAACTAGGGACTTGAGACAAGTTTACCTCTAGCGGAAAAGCTTATTATATAAAATATTGGGCATTTATAGAGCTGGTTCGAGTAACCAGTTCCGTTCGGAGCCATTGATGCTTTTCTCATGGTGTGTTCTTGTTCAGCTCAACTGAACGTTTTCGGCCAATTCCTGCGTTACATCACAATACATATCTGGGCTATTGGGAGCACGCCGTTCAAAAGATGAGTCTCCAGTGGCCTGAAGAAGTGCTCTTTACATTGCCTGTACTTGAGTGTTTTCCAGTGTGGTATGTTGTCAAACATAACAGCAAGTTAGGCGAGCTAAAAAAACCATCAGACGGGCTACTTATAATGGTATGCTTATCTCGTGTGCACATAAATCTTCGGCGATGGGCGCCAAGTACTGCACCGTCACGCGTGAGATGAAGAGATCAATTGGCACAATGCTTGCTTTTACATAATACTGTCTTTCCTCATAAATCTCAGAGTCACAAACAAAAACCGAACAAGGAGAATATCAAACATCGGTATATTTTCCCGCCTGACCATCATAACAATAGCGAGAAAAGCAATCGGCACATAGTCCAACCCGTCTTTTTTTAGCGCGAGCCCGAGCTCGATCGACCACCGCGCAAGCCAAGCAACCACTCCAAAGAGGATCTTTGGTGAAGGCGAGCTGTGTAGATGAGTCCAGAACAGCCAAACTGGTAGCACGCGAGAGCTAGTCGTTGGAGTTCAGTACAGGGCGATTTGGGGAACCAAGAAAAAGATTTAAATCTCACCTCGAGTGCTGCAGTTTGGACCTTGGGAACTGGTGGTGCGTTGGGGATGTAAATGATTAATGGAGTTCCAGGAAGATCTGTGCAGCCTACGAAACTTGGTCGGGTGCGATGCAATCTGGAGACGTTCTTCACATCTGGAAATGGGTAGGCCTTGTTCGGAAATATCCGGGAGCGCTGTGCAGTAGCCAACAGGGCGTCTCCAGTGGGGTAGCCCATATCGAGGTCATCGCTCTGTGAAATTCGAGAGTAGCCAAGTCAAATTCCTTCATAGACTTGTTATAAAATCCGGAACCAAGAGTCACCAACGCACCGCATCAAGTGCTAAAATGACATCGACCTTTCGAGCAGGTACCAACAACGGCGCAAATGGCAGATTCTCTAGATGGACAAAGATAGAACTCATAAGCACTCTACCCGGGCCAAAATTCAGTCGATGATACCCGCACCTCCTCCAAATTCTCCATCGAAAAGGCCGAGATATTCAGAATTTTGATCAAGGTATTCATCGGTACCTAGGCCTGTACGACGTACAAGAAAGACTTTAGTGTGCAGCTTTAAGTTGATCAGCCAGTAGAAGCTGAAATCGTACCTTTGAAGGGATTAGGAACGAGCGATAGAAAACCTTCAATACGCGGTAAAATGGGGAAGTATCCCTTAGTTGAGAGTGCACCGAGTAAATTATCAGCTTTTTTCAAGACATTGGCAGAAGCGGCCACCATGAAACCCAAGTTGTCATAATTCTTCACACAGTCTTTGCGGCCTGGTTGAGACCCAAGATAGGCTGTGTCAATAAATGTGGCTAGGTTGGAATCCCACGAACCCACTTGTGAGAAAAAGATCATAGGTGATATCAGGAAGAGCTCCTCCGCATCAAAAGGCATGGCTATGATTTGAGTACGCACCTTCGAACATGCTGAACTCGTATTGGTTATTGGTTATTGGTACTGCAGCCCCCTGTAGGATATTGTCTCGTCCCTCTCCAGGTGATTCCGCTATTGAGGTGATCAGTGCCAAAGGTTGCGAATAGTTTCGAAGAGTCGGGCTGTCATAGATATTGGAACCCGTCAGCCTCATCCACCAGAAACACATCGATATTCAATACGAACACTGCTCGAGCTAGAGAGCTCAACGTTTCCGCTTGCCCATGGGGCGCGCCAGGATCGAAATAATTCTCGTGGCTGGTCCCGTTTACATAGTGATATGCGAGAATCCTAGCGTACATATCGGCCAGACTGACTTTGAACCCAGCAGCAGCTTTCTCTTCAACATCCCCCGAAATCTCTGCCCACCAGAGACCATCCTGTGCCAGGTTAAGAGCCCCTGGCTGTAAATAACGAGACGATCAGACCTTATTTGCCGGAGTGTTATGGCTGCTGGAAGCAAAAATTCCTTACAGTTATGTAACTAATATCAGTTAACCAGCCTCTGGTGCTGCCGATGAAAGCGTCTGACTCTTCAGGAACGACTCGTGGGTCTCGAGGTCCCAGTGACAACTCATACATATCGGGGAAATTGGCTTGTGCTAGAGACTGCAGCAACCATGAGAAATAGATAGTAAAATACTCTTAATATATGAATACTTACCATGACCAGACAAGCTGCCCCACTAAGTCCCGTAATATAGTCGAATGCCTGGAGCAATCCACCTACAAGGAACCGATACCAAGAATCATTTCATTATTTGTATCGTAAGAGTCATCTGTAGGACACATACCTGTTCCAACTTTTACAGAAGTACTGTTACGACCATCAAGTGCATTCAGAACACCAGCGCCAAAGTAGCTAGCCCGAAGTCCACCTCCGGAGACTGCAACTGACACGTGTGGTCTATCGATGTTGTCTCCGCGTAGGATCTTGCTCACATATCGTGGTAGTCGACGGGATCGGCTTCGTAGGGAGTTTTCAACATTTGATAGGTAGGCACGATAGGCTCCAGGTATAACTTTCTGTCTCCTTTGTTCCATGTAATAGGCTTCTTTATCCCCAAGTCTTTGGTTCCTTCTTTCCACTGTTCCCGCGTATCTCATGAACGACCCTGAAGGACATTTGGTACGTATCGGAGCATAAGAATGTGCTGGGGTTTGAGTATGGCAAATGAGCGTAGAAGAAAATAAGATCAAAAGAGTTATGTAAAAATATGAGAGCATATCAAGAGTGGTCGAGATTCAGTTGAAGTTGAATTTCCCAATAATGATAGAAGTGAAAATAAAAAGATTGTATATGGAGAATTAAGAGTTGAACTCGGGTGGAGGTAGCTATCCAGGATTTCAGTACAAAAAAAATGTGAGCGTGGCTAAACAAGGTGAATCATTTCACATGGGAAGTGTGGTTCGGATGTTATGATTTTATAGCAAGCCCATGAAAGGGTTTTTCACCCCGTCATCTGCAAAAAAGTTGATTCTCATTATGACTGAGTTTGATTACTAACTAAACGAATCTTACCTTCATACGAAATGACTTCACCAGGGAACCAACGCGATCGACTTCCTTTGCGTAGCCAGGCCTTGTGCATGGCCACCCCACACCCAAAGTTTTACACGGAAGGCACCTCAAGAGGTCGGCTGTCGCACCAAGTTCTACTGGCGGGAATCACTCAGCAATCTGGATTGATAGGATTAGATCCACCATTGGAAAGAAACTATGGCGGTATGTATGTGGAGTGAGTCCTTCTAGTACTCGACAGCACACTGATACACAACGAATGCGACCGAGTGGGTTGCATGCTCATTCAACTTTGATTTAGACCCGATCAATGGGGTTTTCGATGTGTAAAGCTCAATTTGTTTTCAACTGCGGAATTCCAAAATCAACCTCACCAAACCTCCGGACATCCCGCTGAACCACTCCCAACCTGAAGGCAACACTGCAACTTCAAAAGCATCTTCAACTTTGTGCATACCGCGCATGTCCGAACTGCACTGGATTTGACTCGCCCTGCAACCGGATCCGATGGACCTTAGGTTCTCTCAGCCTCAGGGCCAAGGTTATCAGGTGTGATGTAGTAGGTATTACTTACAATTTTTGTTCGCGAACCCTCGATTAGCGATTGCACGTGAATAGATCCTGAGTCTTAAGCTGTCAAAAATCATCATCTGGATCAATGGAGCTTGTGTCGCAAGGAGGTTTGCTTGATGAACTCCACTTCGCAGAAATATCGACTACATACGAATCAAACTTCCGAGGCTTGATTCAAATATCTACACTCAGATCTCGCAAATAGATATTGATGGGTATCGTGCGATCGTCTTTTGTTCCGCATTCGCCTCCTGTTGTTCACTGAGCAGTCGAAGGAGGGACTTCAATAGACGCTTACCTATCTGAGGCGTATTGTACAGCATTTTCTAGAGTGTGATGATACATCATCAATTTTGAGAAGTGGATGTTAAAGGTGTTAAGGCAGTCGACGTGTTGCAGCACCCTGCAATGACTGTGAGAAGTACCTTTTGCAATTTCCTCCTGTGCGTATGATGGAATATTCTGATTGTCGTGGTATTTGACTGACTGTTGTAGCATCAAGCACACTTTCTTACTTGTATGTACCTCACAGCCGCCGGACCTTCGGTAGCACTGATGAGTCCTGATGAGTTCTACTTGTGAGGACTTTTTTCGCGCCTTAGCCCGTAGTGGCAGTTGCTAGAGCGGGCCTGCTAAAACACAAAAATTCAAAGTCAACCTCCTAAAGCCTGAAGTGCGACTTTTCTCAATGCGTACTCGGGAGAAACCCACCCTGCATAACCATAGATATTGGAACAGTGGGATCCTTGGTGCAATCATGATGGTATGAAGACACAGTTCATGGATAAACTTAATTAAGTTCATGGACCTCTAAATATCAGCAACAACTTTCATCATAGGGTACACAGAAGAGCTGAGTGAAGAAACCTCCTTGTCCGACTCCCATGAAAATATGAGCTTCCTTTCTTCTTTTTCACCCCGTTGCACCTGTTCTTGAAACCCGACTCAAAAGAAGTTGTACTCCTTAGCCAAATCCCCAGAGCATCCACGTATCAAATTCAATGTCAGTAAGACTCACAAATCAAAGAGAGATCGCCTTCAAAGATGCACCGATTTTGGTCTCGTGCTAACCTACAGTGAATCCTCGGGCATATCCGGGCCGGGTGATAGCCCTATGCACACCACAACAGACACCGCGGGAATTAACTCGTTTGAAACCCGATTGAGCGGAATTTCGGTGTCCGGGTTCGAAATTTCCTCAAATCGAGAAACTTGTTCACAACTCGTTAGCATTACGTTCGCCGATTTCCCTCGAGTACACTACTACATACACATACACAGCACTTTCAAAACCTCCAATTCCAACCGTCCAAGTATCTCACCCCTTATCATGTCCCCACCCAACTCCTTTCTTTTTTTTTGGTTGATCAAGGCTTGACAAATGAAGGTGAAGGTGAGGAATGGTGAAAGGTTGTTGTTGTATCATGTGACTGTACATACACGGGGCCAGCAGAGTACAGGGTACAGCCCGAGGGAAATTGGCAAACCTATTGCTAACGAGTTGTGAACGAGTTTCTTGATTGCAGGAAATTTCAAACCCGGACACCAAAATTTCACTCAATCGGGTTTCAAACGAGTTAATTCCCGCGGTGAGACTGCCACGACGATCGTCATATGTAATACTGCGCGCTGCGTCAACGGCAAGGTTGAAATTGTCGGCTCGGATGGTGGTCATCATCTCGGTGCAGAACGCCTTGGATGAAGCAAGAAAGTCTAAAAAGTCAACATTTCAAGCGAATCGAATACATAGTCTCATCAAACAAACAAATCGACTGAGCGAAGACCTAACGAAAGACTTGGGGCATCGTTTCCCATGGAATCAGGACCTACTCCTCCAGAGCCTATTACCAGTACCCCACCGCCATCATCAAGCTCACCAGACACGAAGAAGACAAGTCGAATACGATCTCAATGGAACCGGTTGTCATCATCTCGAATAGGTCAAGGTGCTAGACTCACCTATACGTGGAGGCGGTTAGTGGAAGACTTATCGAATCATTGAAAAAGAAAGAAAGTCCAACGACTCCTGACATTCTTCAACAGGCCTATCCTCTTTGGTGTAGGTGTGAGCGTATTTATTGGTCGTTACTATTATTCAAAATATCAAGCCGCTAAGCGTGACTTCATTCAACCAGGTTAGATTTCTTCCTGAAGCTCGTTGAGAAACCCCTTCATAAAAAAGTCATCGAGGATTTCTATTCAAAAACCATGGGTATCCAGATTTGACTGACGAAAGTTGTGTTTTATGTATTTTGAACAGATACTTATTTGGTTTGGAGGTTATATGATGGTGCTGTTGTGGAGGTGAGTAAAAAACCCTTTTAAGGATCAACAGTGCAGCAAAAACTGACGTTCTGTGTCGTGGCCTTGAAGTACCCATCCAACCAAACTAATCTGAGCATGCTCCTGGGCTCGAGCGGCGAGGGATCTGAGCCTCCAAGAGTGTAAGAATCTCATCCAGACAATTTCAAAACTCATCAAGATCTTGGTTTCTCCTGACTGATAAAACTTCCCATTTTTACTGTGTACTAAAGTATGACGTTATATGATGCAGTCAGGACGCTCCAGTTCGTCCAAGCTGATGATCGAATCGTCAGTGACTTTCCCCTCATGAACTATACGCATTTCAAAAATTGACCCCGATCGCCCACTATATCATATCAATCTAGATAGGACTAATAGCCGACATGTCATCCACCAATGCACCTACCGTTAGCCAAAATATTCCATTAGGTCTTGCACAAATTGAAGAATTACAGGAAGCTTTGAATGAGTTGAAGGCAGAAAAAGAAAGACGTCTAGGAGCTGGAAAGTTCAAGACGATAGCCTTTACTGAGACTTTCAGAAGCCAGGCTGAGTATGCTATGGCTAGTGGGTTTGATGAGGTAATTTTCATTCTTCTTCATTGAACTCAACCAATTTGAACTCATACTTATGCCATGTGTGAATTCTGTATGACAGATTTATTGTCAACCTAGCGGAGAAATCCCTTTGGTCGGAATCAATAGTACCGTCACCTTTTACTCACGTTTACTGAATTGGCTTGGAATCAAAGTTCATGCAGAGGCTAGGACTGATTACAAATCCATGGTGCGTCTTGTTTCATCAATCATTCGAGGTAGGACTATGTCAATTAATAACTCTCTCCTGCGTGGTTGCTTCTCGCGCTTCAGGTTGCGCCGTACACACAGGAGCAATTCACAGTGAAGTCTACAATCCTAAACTATTCGCCTTTCTTTCCTTTCAAAGGCACGGTCAAACTGATTCAGAAGTCTCCCTTTAGACACCGCAAGCTGAGAATCACTCCGAACTATTAGAAGACCTTAACAGAAATATGTTATCGTTGATTGCAATGAACCGATTCCGGAATGAGCTATCTGAACAGCGCCCAAGAGACCCAAAAGAGATGGGAAGCCTAACAGAGAGGATGAAAACATATAGTAAAAAAGGTCCTTTGATGGCTCATGAAGCTATCGAAATGGGTTTAATCTCTGGAACTACTTATAAAGAAGAATTATTTGAAAAAGTCATGTTTGGTAAAGATGCTGTGGTAGTAGATGAACTTGGTGAAGTTTTACAAGGAATCGATAAGATTAATGCGATCAAAGACGAAATCAAAAAGAAAACCAAAGGTTTCTTTCATTATCACCGAGTATGTTTTTTCTGGTTTTACGTCTTCACTACGTTTTTCAGGCTGACCGGGGTTTTGAAATTATACAGATAATGGATCGGATCTCACAGCGGAAATTTAAGGACGAAGTACTGAATGTTGGGGTCGTATATGTCCTAGGGACAATTGGGGATGTCGGAGAGTCAGTCAACGTTATCATTAAGCCCATCAGCTTGGTCATAAAACTGATCTCACTTTGCTCGTCTTGCAACTAAAGATTCGGGACTGGAGCAATTGTCAAAGGTCTGAAGGAAGCTGCCGAAGACGATAGCATTGGTGCTGTTGTCCTGAGGATTGATAGTGGTGGGGGTGGAGTAGTTGAGAGTGATACGATTTGGGGGGCTGTAAAGGAGCTCAGATCAAGAGGCAAACCGGTGATTGCCAGTTTTGGAAATGCGGCGGCCAGTGGCGGGTATCTTATCGCTACCCATGCTGATAGCATCTTTGCAATGCGTGAGTGAGAGTAATTTCAAATACTTGTAGGTTCCTGATTTTATGATACAACAACACTCATCACTCTTCAATATATCGGTATATTTGTGCATGTTCATTTTAGCATCTACCATCACTGGTTCGATTGGAGTGGCATCTCTCAGGCCCACTATCATGCCATCCTTTTTCGAGCGGTTAAAGCTTACCACACAGTCCTTCTTCACCGGTTCACAGGCTCTCTCGATTTACCATGAATTAGGAGACGAAGCCATGAGTCGACACAAGACACACATCGATTTGGCTTACGCAGACTTCAAAGGTCGAGTTTGTGATGGTCGTCAAATCTCGACAGAGTTGATCGAGAAATTGGCTGGTGGTCGAGTCTACACAGGTTTAAAGGCATGGACTCTGGCTGAGGACTCACATCGACAAGTCACAGAGGAGAAGCAGCAGTCAGAAACTCTAGCAGTCGAGCCTAAGCAGGAGTCGGACGTTAACTCGGTTTCAAATGTGGATGCTGTGACAAATCTTGACTCTGCTGATAACCAGCCCCATATCGATATCAAACATCCAACATCATTGATACCTCCGGACAGCGAATTACTAGCCTCATCTGTGGATCGACTGTCAGAAGGATCAGCGAGCTCGGAGACCTCTGATATTCAGAACGGAGAGCCTGCTGAACCTGGACCACTTGGTCGCGGAATCATCGATGGGATCGGTGGTATTCGAGACGCGGCTATCCATGGTGTTGAACTTTACTTGGCGAGATTATTAAGTACGAAACAAGATATGGAACCAGATAAATCTCCAGCCGAAATCCTACAAGACCTTTTACCAGGAGTTCCATACAAAACTAATGAAGAAGGTCATCTGATGATGTCATTTGATATTCGTTTGAAGAAATGTAAGTTCTGTCTATATATTAGATACGGAGTTAGGAGTCGTGTTTACTGATCTACATTTTTGTATCAAACTTCCTTGATCAGTTCCTGTTCATAAATCATTCTGGGAACAACTTAGTGCTGCTTCTAAAAAAGGAGATGGTATTGAACTCTCGATGGGATCATTAAGTGCGACTGTGAAGCATGCATTTGTGAATTGGATGGCTGGAGCAGTTTTACAAGCTGTTGAAACTGAAGGATTAGATATGTTTGGTATGCAAGCATCAGATCTCAGACAATTGAAAAAGTTAATGAAAGATTCAAGACAAGATGGAAAATCAAGTTCGATCAGAGCTGAATTACCACCTTTTACTTTTCAATGATTGATTACTTATGACAATGAATGATTTGATTAATCATTGAAGAGTTTTTTGTTTGTTAGATTGCATTGGTTTCGCAAAGTTTGATTATGTAAACTCGCCTTCGTACATCTTTCTTCTTGGTTGAAGAACAAACCTAGAAAACTTTGAATTCTCAGATGTCTTTTTTTGATGATGAGCTTGTTCTTCTTGTTCATATAGACTTGAGCTATTATTAGTCTTTCAAAAATTAGTAATTCTATTTACCCCTTCTCTGCAGTGTAAGCAATTGAAAATCAGTTGAGTTTTCTGAAGAGATAGAGATGGTTTATTATTGTGATAGGAATCTGGGATGATTTGCTTATGATACTTTTGAAGATGTTCATTTGGGAACAGAGCTGAGGTCTATTTAGTTACACTCACTGTACTAAGGGAAAATCTGAGCCTTTTCATACAAATGATGAGTTTTGGGACTGAAAGTGATTGGATCATATCTGAAAATGTGTCCCAAACAGGCACAAAATTGATTGTGAAGATAAGTGGTTTCCATCGTAGCCCTAGTCTGCCAGAGGTTCTAAAAAGTATGTTGAACTTGCATGACTTGATATTGCATGGGATTGACATCAATGTTTCTTATCCATCACCACCAAAACCTCCCTGAACTCATCAAAGCAAAAACAAGACACAAAAAGCTATCACAGTATCTAGAAGTACAAAGCAAAAAATTTCAACACATGTACTATTTGCAAAACATTTTTTTTATTTCAATTTTTTCAAAGGGAATTTTTGCTGCTCAAACACTTCATCATGACAAAACAAAAGAGAGAGAGAGAAGAAGAAAAAAATCACAAAAGAAAAAAAAGGAAAGTAGTGGATCCTATTTTGACTACATCTGAAGGGAAAAAAAAAGAACAGACTAAAGATATTTCACAATACAAACAACACATATCTCAAGGGTTTTTCCCAACAGGCCAATCTGACAAACAAAAACGCACTCAAAAGTCTCATGCAACCTCCTAAACAAAGAAAAAAAGCGACTTTCAATATGTGAATCACTTCTAACTAACCCACCATGACAAGACCATCCAAAGTCCTAATGCAGCCACCGCTGCTTTGAGAAGCGGTCTTGATGTTTGCTCTAGCTGTGATTGACGTTGTTGGACTTTGACACCAAGTCCTTCAATTGCATTGTTAGCACGTTGCGTGGTAGAAGTGTTTGATGCTGTAGTACTAGCGGTAGTAGATTCCGGAGTAGTTGTAGCTTGGTTGTCTTTTTTCTCTGGACTGGAATCTGCTGGTTTAGGTTTTGGGTCTCCCATATTGGGTAAGTCCACAGCATGATCTGCATTGAGGTATTCAGGAAAAATTGCCCGGAATTTAGGTTGGGCACTATTTTTGAAAGAGAAAAGCGAGGGAGGTGATTTTGATGTTTGGCCAAGGATGAATCAGACAAGATTAAGAAGTGATCGATAAGGGGCCATGAGTTTCAAAGGGACTCAACATGTTATATGCATGTGATCGTTTAGCATAAATCCTTCGGTCAGCGTCACTTGAACGTACACTTCCAGTTGTCATCTCATCTCCAACCATAAATGACAGCAGTCCAGTGAGACTAGTATTGATTCATAGATCAGTACCCATGTCCATTGAAGCAGGTAGCGATCTAGCTTACATAGTAGCCACGCTCCATGCAGGGTTCCCTAGAAGATGATTCGGAATCAGTGACTGGATGTATCACAAAACGAGTTGACATTATGAACTCACAAGATCCAGGGTGATAATCACTCATACTTGTGCAAATCTTTCGGTCAGGCTGAAATCTACCTGAAGGAGTAAGCATCTTGATGCCTGGTGGTTTGAATGGATCTATTGATCACAAAACTGAATCGTTTCAGAACGCTTGATACAGAACGGAAGGTATGACAAGAGAAAAGCTAGTGGCTGACAATCCGCCGGAAATATGACTGTTCCCCAAACTAGTAATCGAGATTGATCAGAATAAGTCAGTTTTTTGAATTTGTAAGGACGGTCATGTGTTATCCTTGTAGGCGAAAATACAAATAGACCATACTCACATTCACCACCTTCGTAAGGAGTATCAGGTGGACCTCGAATGATGTAATGCCATTCGAGGATATCAGATTCCTTGGGTCTTGCAATGATAAAAGGTGGAGGCGCCTTATTAAGATCGGCATGTTCCTGTAGAATCGTTATCATGAGATGACTGTCAGACGAAAAGGTTCGCTGAAGATATGATTATGATTCAAATGGGGTTTTCACCCACCTTCATGAGTCGTTTGTGAGCCTGCTTAGAAGCCATTGTTCAAGACGATTTTCTTTTGAGAGAAGTTGATTGAGTTGAGTTTTTGATTGAGATGAATTGGTTGAGGATGATATATGTGAAGTTCTGAATGAAGTCAAAAGAAATGAGATGAGGAGGTAAACAGAGAAGAAGGTAAACTGAAAATCAAACAATTTAAGCTTAAAGGGCTATGGTTATCTCTAAAATTTAATTAGGGTACACTTTAAATCTCTTAAGCTGCGGTTGTGAACCAGATTTATTTGTCGACGTGGACAAAAAGCAAAAGAACTTTCTACAAAACTATAATTTCCAATTCAAATACTCTAGCTCTTATGTAGTATTAAGGACTTGTGGCGGTGAACTTCAACTTGAACTTCGCATGTCTTGCCACCACCCTTTCCAGTCATTCACTGCGTGGTGCTTGACTGGGAATATGATTTAACAGTTTAACAATCAATGAGGAGATGTTGTTGAACAAATATGTAAGATGGGAATGTGAAGGTTTTCGAGTTCTGACATCATCAGATGAGGTCTGCATCAGATAACCAATCAATGATATCCGCGGGTCAGCTCTGCTCTACTCTGCTGCATTGTACTTGCTCACTTTCAAGGCGGTACATCAAATAAAAAGATAAAAAAGGCCAAACTCAAAGAAACCTGCCCAAGGCTTCGTAACGGATGATTATCCTGCACGGAATGGGTGGGCGTTTTTGCCTGGAGAAGTTGCCTCACTATCATGTCTCCCATCCCTTTGCCAGATGGCACCCTCCTATCCTACACAATTGAATTCATTTCTGTCCTAATCATCCAAGCCAAAGGTGTATACACAATGCTAGAGGGGTTCAAGCAGGCCAACAATGCCGTAAGCATTTTTTCAGTTTGACCTACTTTAGAGATCCAGGAATTGCAAAAAATGTTATTTATCAGTTTTTCAACTTTCACAAATTGTGAGCAAAATCTGTCTGTAGGCAACATTTTATTTTTTTAGATTTGAACCCCCCATTGGAAATATTGTGTAATTATACGAAACCTCAAAAATCTTAGTCCCCTCGCTACACTCATATCTTCACCAACGACATGAAGAAAGTGGCCACATTGCCAACACAGCTCATCAAGATTGGCCAATTCAATACAACTCGTTTTTTGCTCTGACATCATAACATGTCTACAGTTTCAGCATAAAAAATGCTACTATGACTGGAGAAGAGATGGTAAGTCATCTTGAAAAGATCACACGAGTAACAATCGGTCCGAGCGTGAAGGTACGGCCTACAGGACTCTTATGCGGATACAGTGAAAGGATAAATGCAACCGATCTTTGAGAAATATATATCAAATAGTAAGCCTCTTACAAGACCTATTGGTAGAACCAGCTGGCCTAAAGAGAGACTATGGTAATAATAATGATTGATGAGTATGTGCTTCATATACTCGACAACAGGGAAATGTTCACTCACATTCTCTCAATGGAACATCTTCAGTAGCTCTCCCTCTTCTTTGAGTTTTTGCAAGTCCGAGTTACCTCCAATATGATTCTGATGAATGAAGATATTGGGTACAGTTCCTTGACCAGTCTTAGTCTTCAAATAAGCTTGAATTTCTGCTCCATCTTCGCATTGATCGAGTTCAACCACATGAATCTCCTTATTTAATTCTTCGAAAGTTTTCTTGGTCGCCTTGCAATACGGGCAATGGCTTTTGGCTAAGCGAAGTGTAGATTATGATAAATCAGCAAAAGGATGAAAAAACGAAAAGAAGTTGAGTCCCTTCGAGAGTGATGTACTCACTGAATGCTACGATCGCGCTATAGAGTCAGAACGAAAGGGATAGAAAAATACAATGTCAATTTTGTGGGAGGAGTGCCAAATCCCTTGAGGATCAAAGATTAAGAAAGAAAACATGGAGAAGAGGTTGCTCAAACTGATCATTAATTGCATCCTCAACTTTCTTCTTAATTTCTTCTGAAGTCATTCTTGCGATTCGGAAAGGGATGAGTAACTATTTATTTAGATGGAATATCCTGATGGGTCGCGGTGGTCTGAAGAGGTGAATTGGTTAAGCTCTGGGTTTAAATGGTGACGGTGTACCCCGGTCCCCAATGCACCCGCAATACTTTCAAATGTCATATATCGGATATCCATTCGGAAAGAACAGGAGAGAACCGCTTCGTGCTATCTCCGTGCGGATTACTTCGCACCGCCAGGCTGAGTAAGTCGATCCGAGTACACAAACTCGATGGCCCTATAGTTGATTACGATGATCGATGGATGAGATCCAGATCAGGGATTTATTTATGAGATGTTTCAGTTATTGAAAATGAGGATATCTTGAAACTCGCGAACAAATGATATGAAACTTTGTACTGCGAGTAGCTCCACAGCTAATCTTTCATCACAGCGAATCTTTCACCAAGCTGTGGAGCTCCTTTAGCGACTTCTTTTGTAGGGCCCAGCAGAAAGGAAATCAAAAGTAATTGTTTTCAATCTTCAATCTACTCATTTGAATCCCTCTATAGGCTTTCATGTTGCATGAAATGGTGTCACCTCCGGAAAAAACGCATTCTTGAAAAAAATGATAACCATTTTTGCGTACAACACCCTTGTTATCAGCACATTGGCTGTTGTGCTGTGATACAATATCATACGGGCTTCTTTCCTATGGCTCCTCCATTTTTCACTTAAAACGATAATCAATAGTGGGCAACTTTATTGAGGGTGGGGTTCTGTTTTGTTCCGTTGATATCAAGACATGAATAGTTGCAGTAAAAAATCATTTAGATCCTAAGATAACCAAAGAAGAGTTTGTGATACATCTTGAACAGAGCAAACGAGTAATGATTTGTTTACGTGCCAAGGTGTGGTCTACAGAACTCTTTATGTGAATACAATTACAAGATACAGTCAACTCTCCATAAAGGCATACCTTTTATGGGCATAATCCCTCTAAATGCATAGGTTTTTACGGAGTTTTTTCCCGCCAAAATGAGATTTGCCAGCCAAAACAAGATTTGTAAAGGCATATTCCTCTAAATGCATAAGAAAACTGCCCGCCAAACTGTATGCCATTAGAGAGAGTTGACTGTACATGCAAGTGATGTTACAAAAGAATAATCACATCGTCAGCCTCTATCAGATTCGGTGGCATCAGATGAGAAGTACAAAATGCTACCTTGATAAGCTACAAAACCAAACCCCATCGGTCCAGGCAGTTCGTCCGAAGAGAGACTGGCAAAAATGATGATGGATAAGGGCGTAGTTCATGTAGTGTGAGAGAGAGGAAGAGAACGATGTTCCTTCACTTACATTCTTTCAACGGAACAAGTTACGTAGCTCTCCCTTTTCTTTGAGTTGTTGCAAGTCCGAGTTACCTCCAATATGAGTCTTATGAATGAAGATATTGGGTACAGTGCCTTGACCAGTCTTAGTCTTCAGATAAGCTTGCTGCTCTGCACCATCTTCACATTGATCGAGCTCGACAACGTGGATTTCCTGGTTGAATTCTTTGAAAGTTTTCTTGGTCGAATTGCAATACGGACAATGGCTCTTGGCTAGTCGAGATATAAAAGAATTAATTCAAGGATAAAATACGAAATACCGCGATCGGCTTGAAGATTGATGAACTCACAGAATACTATGATCGCGCTATTGGATGAGAATAAGAGGTAGAAGGAAACAGACAGAAAAATATGGTCAACTTAATCAGAACAAAGAGCTGATCGGGCGTCGATTCAAGATACAGAAAGAAGAATAGTAGAGAAATGGTGCTCAAACTGATCACTGATCGCATCCTCAACTTTATTCTTGATTGCTTGCGAAGTCATTCTTGCGATTTGAGAAGGGATGGATTTATCTTGTACTTCAGATGGGATATTGGGTTGTTGTCGTTAAAAGGGATGGTTGACTTCTTTATCTAGTTATGTTCACATTGTACTACATATGGTTATCAAATTTCATCATGCATGTCGTCATATCCGACCCCGGAAGAAGTGTGATGTCATCTTTGTTCCTTGTTGTACAATTCTGCATGCGTCTGAGTTGACTCTACAGTGGCTTTCCGTTGCTCTTCCTGATCAAGTCCTCATTGAAACAAACAAGTGGGTGCTGATAGGTGCTGATCCATCACGACTCCTTTCAACAGATTCCCTTACGATACAGCGGTCCTCATCAAAGCTTAGATATCCTCGAGCTTCAAAGCTAAATCTCAACTCCGAGCAGAATGTTTACATGAAACGTGTTTATGTCTTGTTTGCAAATCTATGTAGGTTCAGAGTCTCTTTTGCCCATGGGTCAAGCTTTTTGGTGTCAAGAGGTAGCAAAAATCTAGCAGGAGAATCTAACTTAACACAAGTCCCGAACTCACAGGGGCTTTCTTACCTTTGCAAGCTTGGTGCACTGGAGAGGGACTTGTGACTTATCAGCTAGTTTTGGTGTGCAAGCAGGGACCCAAAAGACCCTGCTCTTCTACAGCCTTGCATCTTCTGTAGTTAACACAATACAGAGTTTCTGAGGAGAGCAAAATCTTCAGAACATCTAGATGAACAACTTTGGTCTTTGAACAAAGTTCATTGATCAATTATTAATCCTCTTGAAAAAGAAAAAAATTATGTCCTTTTTAATTTAAATTTTGTTTCCAAAAATACAGTCACCAAATTGCAAATCTCCAAATCTTTCTCTCTTTCTTGAGAAAACTTAGAGCAAGGTACAGTCGTTCTCAGAAATGTTGGAAAAATCCAACATTTCGAGCTGAGGTCGTGGTCCCGACGAGGCGACTTTTTGATGACATGTGTCACAGAAAAAGTCATGGCAGCTGTCGAGTGGAGATCAGTGTCCCTTTCACCAACCTCAACTCCCCTGTGTCCTCTCCATGGCATCCTTTCTCTGATCCTCAGCTCGTGTTACAATCCCTTAACCATGGGATCATAGGTTTTGACCATTTTTCTGAAAATATCAGTCCGTTAGCCTGGCCATTGGCAAGATAGTAGTGTGGTCATCAAGGTATGATGGAAAGTAATCAAATTTTCATCTTGAGATACCTGTCAAAATCAAAGTTTTTGTCAGTGTTTGTATCTGCATGTCACTGCTCAGCGCACGGGCCCTGAGCTCAGCTCAAGATTTTGCATTTTTCCAACATTTCTGAGAACAACTGTATGCAAAATCTGAATAGATAGATCTGGTGAGAATGGGCACAGGTAGCTCCAGTTTGAATGGGCAAGGGGGTTGATTGAGAGGAAGTCAAAAATAGTATTTTGTATCTGTGATTTTTTTCAACCCTCAATAACGTAGTCCATTCACATCATAAAGGTTAAATAAAGGTTAAGAGACATTCACATCATAAAGGTTAAATAAAGGTTAAGAGACTACACCACGGGTCAGTGCTGATATCAATTCAAGGTCATCTGGCCCGATGTCGATTTGATATCAATTCCATATCGATTTGATATACAAATTATTGATATCAATTTTATCTCAGTATCACCAGCCCTCACCAGCCCCAGCAGGTGTGAGGAAGGATTGCACAGCCGCCAGAACTCCGTTGGCTGGCTGTCAGCGGAGTCTAATCACAGGTCTTGATATTGAACCAATCTGAACTCAATATCAATCCAATATCAAAAATTTGTAGATTGAGTCAATATCAGGCCTGTCAAAGAGTTGACCCGTGGTGTATATATTCTTGGTGGGAAAACACAGGAGAAGTTTGGTACAGATTTATGATAACATATGACATCATTTCAATTTTGGTGGTATCACATATTTTGTTGGTAACTGACCCATAACATCTTGATAGCAGACACATGTTATTTTGAAAATATCTTGAAATTATCTTGAAAACATGGGGTGCACTTGGCTGCCAGTGACCAGTAGTTGGGGGCTGTGCTAGAGTTTTATCAGGAAGTTTTGGTTGACGTCCCTTTAATGGATCTTTGACATCTACTTAAACAAGTCTTCCCACCTGAATTACAAGCAGACCCTCAGGAGGAGTAGCAACACTGCCACTATACTATACTATACCAGTATAGCACTATGTATCACCTTAACTACAACTCCTTACAATAAAAAATCTCTTTTGGTCAAAGTTGAAACAAGCAGTCAGCAACAAGAAAAAGATAAAATATCGGTTTTGACAAGAATGCCTGGTTTTCCAACTCACATAACAATTTGAATGATGTAGACACAACTTTGCGAGTGTTATGGAGATTAAACAGCAAACATGATCTTGTTCAATTGTTTTCTATTGATTGTTCTTATTGTAAGATTCATTGGCACTAAGAATAAAGAAGAACCCAGCAAAGTTTCCCCCTTATCAGGATACCACAATAGATGAAATCAAATTTGATTTTTTCATTTTCTTCTTAGCTTGTCTATAGTTGGAATCCAACATGAAAAACAAGATGATATCTTGTTGATTTCAAGTATTTCAATAAAAAGTAAGACATTCCAGACTGGTTAGTACTACAAAAGAGATAGGATTGGCCATGTTTTTGACTGAGTTGTACATCAAAAGTGATGAGCTGAAGAACTTGAGAGATATTTAATGGGGGATGTGAGCAGATTGAGAGGCCTCAATCAGCAAAGGTCTCTCGATTGCTTTATTGATTGTTTGTTTTTGAGCTTTAATTTGATTTGAAGCTTGAACTGATTTCCTTTTTCAATCCTTTTGATTCCATCTTGAACTCAAGACTGAAATCAAAACTTGATTTGAATTCTATTTTGTATTTTGCTTTGATTTTGATTCAGACTAGATGTGTTTTTGATTCATTGTTGATTTGATTTGGATTTTGAATTTGATTCAGTTTTAATTTTGATTTGATGTTCATTTGTTTGTGATTTGCTTTGTGTGATGATTCAAATGATTGATTAAATGCTTGATGGATTGATCGATTGATATTCTTTTAGGATCTATGGGGTTTTGTTGCATGTGTATTGCAGACTGGATTGATGATCGATCCAAAAATAGGTGCTTTTCCCTCTTGACTATACTGTACTTGATACTGTAGTATAGTACTGAGTTTTCAGTACTATATTACAGTATCACAGTACTGTATAGTATAGTGGCAGTGTTGGGAGTAGTCACATTTCCTTTCTAATCAAGTTGAAGATGAGGAAATCAGAGAAGCCAATCAATCTTACTGATTCAAACTTAAAGAGAGTGACAAAACCATTTGGAATTTTCAAGCAAACCACTTTAGGTGTGTATGACTCAGAGTTTGATGCACAGCATCATGGGGAGATGGTACTTTACAAAACTATAATTCTGGAGTTATCAAACTATTTAGATTTGCAGCAAAGAAGAACATCAACAAGTTCATACCAATTTCCCCCATCTTAATCAAGCAATTTGTAGTATGGGTGTCAAGGAAAAATGTCAAATCAGCAAAAGAGGACAAATTGATAACATACACGACTTTAAAAGCTCAAGCAGCAGGACTCAAGGCCTGGCATCTTTTTCATGATGTGAAATATCCCTCTGTTGTTGACACCATGGTTAAGACACTACTTAGAGCCTCAAGGATGATAGAGGCCGAATTACAGCCGTTGTAACACAGCCCCCATCTACTAGGCTCTGGCAGGCCAGAGCCTACCACTGACTCCATGAAAGATTCACGAAAGATTCAGAAAGATTTCAAATTGACTTCAACATAATATCATATGGGGCCATTTGCCTGTCTGACCACCAAAATTCTGATGTCATCATATGATGTCATAAATCTGTACACACCTGCTCCTGTGTTTGCAGATCATGAATATATAGTCTATTAAACTTTATCATGTAAATTGACCGAGTTATTGAGGTTTGAAAAAAAATCACAGATAAAAAATACTATTTTTGTACTACATATAAGACTTGGATCTTGAATATCGTCAATCTTTGTCAATATACATATACATTAAATTTGATAATAATTTCCGCACTTTGTTTCTCCACATTTCTGTTTCCTACAGCCTTTGTCTATGGGTAGTATTTTTATATGTAATTGTGCATTATATACAGAAGTTGGATTTTCTGAAGTTCTTTGACCTCGAGGCAAATTGTGATAAAATGTAGGGCCCAAATTAGGCCCAAATAGACTGATATGCATGTAAATAATAATTTCCAAAAGTTTCTGCCATCAATTTATTCATATCCTTCCTAGAATCAACAAATCAGGGAAAGATTGGACTGCTCATGTAGAATTCACAATTACATATAGAAATATGCCTTTTAGACAAAGGCTGCAAAAATAAAAGATGTAGGAACATGTATTGTACAGTGGAATATAAAATTTATTTTATATGTATATTCATAAAGATTTAAGATATCCAAGATCCCAGTCTTATATATAGTACAAAAATAGTATTTTTTATCTGTGATTTTTTCAAACCTCAATAACTCAGTCAATTTACATGATAAAGTTTAATAGACTATATATTCTTGATCTGCAAATAAAGGAGCAGGTGTGTACAGATTTATGACATCATATGATGACATCAGAATTTTGGTGGTCGGACAGGCAAATGGCCCCATATGATATTATGTTGAAGTCAATTTAAAATCTTTCTGAATCTTTCATGAATCTCTCATGAAGCCATGGTAATCTCTGGCCTACCAGAGCCTAGTAGCTGGGGTCTGTGTAAGATCTATCGGCAGATTTTTGAAAAGTTTTGTTGTTGCCAGATTTAACTTCTGAACTAAACCTCAAAATCATGACACTCTCAGACTAACTCAATTGTTTTTGTGCTAGATTGGACCAATGGGCAGTAGAGTTATCAATCTCAGAAGGGTTTTTTCGAGTTTTTGACCTTTACGTTAAATCCGGTGACAACACAACGATTGCAAAATCTACCAATAGATCATACAATGGCTGTAGTAGAAGCAGATAAGAAACCTATGGTGGTGCTAGTTGCAGATCTAGTTGTTTGGCTGAAAGTCCTCCCTGATGAAGGAGAGC